TCCAGTCACCTTTCCAAGAACCAAAGGTTGTCTTAGTGCTTTATTAGATCAAGACTCCTTAAACCTTCTCCATATTACAGATTAAAACAAAGCACAGACTCTACTCTGCAGTTTATTGCATAACTAGTAATTAAGGCTTATTTATATAAAAAAAAAAAAAACCCTCAACTTATTTTAGTGTCTACGATGATTTAATTGTCTTTCCCAAACCGCTGTGTAATCTGAATGCTCAATTAGACTAACTGCAAATGCCTTACATTTATCTCACAATGGGATTCATCTCGCTACTGGACCACGCTTAATAAAGCATAAATTGCAAAATCAGGTGGGTTACCTGGAACAGAGGGCAGAGCATCGCGGAATACATCTCGAAAGACCAATGAAGTTAACCTGCAGCACCATTTCGGATTAACGGAGCGGCAGGCGCGTAAATCACGTTAATATAAACTACATAAGAAAAGCAGACTCTCCGTGACATTTATTTATTGATAATATAATCATTGCCTTTAAATTCTATGTTCAACAGTATTTAAGTCATTAATCAATTACCGAGCGCACAGTCTGGACAATAAAATTATTGACGAATATTGGATCCTAAACATCACACAGTTTTAACTTTAGGATAAATTAGCAATCATTATCTTAACGTGCCTGATTGTTCCATTGTTTTATATGTGTAATTTAGGTTTTTATATGACTTACTTGGTATTAAATGACACCCGTTAGGCTATAATTAATTGCTCAATGAATTAAATATTCAGTAGGTTTCTGAACTGTTACCAGACGCCGTAGTGTTTGCTTTTGTGTGCTTTGTATTTCTTCCCAGTAAAGCTTTTCATTGATTACACGTTTTTCCTTTTCTGTAAATGAAAGCAACCGACCCCGTCGATATTGCTGCATCGGGGACGCGCATCTTCTGAGCTCAGCGCTTCATTTATGACATTGTGTTAATTAGCCTATATTAGCGACGGGGGGGGGGCAAAAGAGAAGGAAATAAATGTGTCTGTAGTCTATAAATGCGGCTATAGTACTGGCAGGCTAGTTTTTATCTTTTGTGTACCGGTATTTATTCCTGTCTTCCATGAATTTTGCGCTGATCGCACAGAAACTGATCAAATTTAATGACATTCACTGGTTAAACGATAATTATTCGCTTAAATGCAGTTTACAGTATATATTAGGTCTATTCTACTTCTCAAATTAATTAAATATCGTGAGATTGAACTCTCCACGTTATCAGTGTGAATTCTGGGGAAATTAATATAAAAATTAATTGCTTTTAAGCCTCCTTGACTTAACCATACTTCCACACGCTCTAACCTTACCCTAAGCCTGCGAGTGACCCTAGTGCGACTACGCCCTCTACTGGTAGAAATGTGCGCTACCCTCGGTATGCGGGAGCTGGCAGCATGTTTTTCCGGTGATGTCGCTGTCGCAGGCAGGACAACGATGTCGTCACTGTCACAATCTCTCAGGCCTACAATACGCCCCTGTGCAGGGAAGCCTGGGGGACTGTCTCCTCAATTATTCCCCTTCATTCAACATTTAGTCCGCTTAGCCCCCGGGGCAAAACGGCTCTCACGTCCACTTAGCGGAAGGAGGGGTGTAAAAAAAGTTTTAAAAGTTAAAAAAGAAGACGAATACAGAAAAGAACCCGTATTATCTCTACAGTACCTTCAGTATGTGGGTCCCACCTCCAGGAAAGAGGCTGTGCCATTCTTATTTGGGTGTGGAATTCATCACGGAGAAGCACAGAAGTTCACAGTAACGGCAATACAAGTACAACTCTGATTAGCCCCCTCCCACGATATACACACAGACACACCGCGTGCAGGATTCATGGAATATTAATGGGCACTATAGGTTTATTTTTCAAATTTGCATAAATGTATATTCAGCGAAGCGAGCAGACTGTGTATCAGTAAATACCCCAGCCGAGTCTAATTAAGGCGCATCGAGTGAAGCTTATAGGACGGGTGCTTCAGTCAAAGGTTTTCAGATGTCAGTCGCATTGTGTTCCGTTCACTTTCTGTTCGGTATGTCTGTTTTAAAAACTTTTTAAAATAATTTCAGCTCAGCACAAGATCCACGTTTTCACTACGAACCGCGTCTTCACCCGACAACCCAATGGAAGTAGAAGTGCTAATGTCGCCACCTGGTGGTCATTTAAGCATTTTACAACATTCAGATTAAATTAGTGCAATCAGTGTTATTTTAGCCACAACCAAACCCACACACACACACACACACACACACACACACACACATATGCAAGTTGGTCTTCCTATCTAAACGGGGACCGTCCATTAATTTCTATGGGAAAAACCCTAATCCCAATCACGACACCCTTAACCTCTACCCATCCCTAACCTTAACCATAAGTAACCAACCCAAATACAAGACTTTCAGGATTTTTACTTTTTTGATTGCATTCACAGATTTTTTATAAAACTGAGGTTATCCAAATGGGGACCTCAAAAGATGTCCCCAAAAGTATGGAAATTTCAAGTTTTACTACACTTTGGGGACAATTTGGTCCTCAAATGTGATCTATGCAAACCCACACACACACACACACGCACATGTAGGGTAAACATATCCTTATGTTTTATGTTATGCTCATTCATTTCAATGGGAAAAATGCTAACGCTAACTATGACAACCTTAACCCCCACCCTGCCCTAACCATAACCATAAGTAACCTAACAAAATACAAGAGTTTTTGCATTTTTAGTTTTTTCATAGCAGTCACCGATTTTTATAAAATAGTTTTCCCTTATGAGGACCAGGAAATCGGTCCCCATAAGCGAAAAAAAAACGGATATTTATCACGTTATGGGGACATTATGTCCCCTAAGGATAGGTAAACCCCCTCGCACACACACACACACACACACACACACACATATACACACATACACACACACATACACACACACACATTTGGTATTCATATTTATGTGAGGACCGTCCATTAGATTCTATGGGCATTCCCATCTAAACCCACCATGACGACCGTAACCCCCACCCTGCCCTAACCTTAACCATAAGTAACCAAACAAAATACAAGAGTTTTGACATTTTTCATCTTTTTTATTGCAGTCACAGATTTTTATCCTTGTGGGGACTGAAAAGGTGCCCCCCACAACGTCAAAATAAATTTGGTCCCCGCAACATAATATATACATAACCCCCCCCCCCAAACACACACACCCAGATCCCCCCCCAAACCGCACAGACTAAGTATAGCACAGCAGCACTGTAAGTCTATGTTATACAGATATATATATTTCAGAATCATCCTCTCAAATCCAAAACCCAAATCACAGAGAATACTAGAAATGTTCATTGCAGTGCCCCTGTGAAACAGCAGTGATGTTAGTTTGATTAAAAAATATAAACTGCTCAAATTATTTTTTCGTATCAGTCCATCAAATGATTAGTTCATTGTGTGATAATACTGCAGCGTCACGGAAACTGAGAAAACTGAAGTTTAATAGAGGAGCCACACATACACCAGGTGTCATACTGGGTAAGCGTGTTCCGAAAGCACAAACACCATAGGATGGGGTAACTGCAGGTGTACCAAGCAGGAGAGAAGGAATGGCTACCAAAGTCACAGACAATCACCCCCCACCCCAATGCAGCAAAAGAAACTCTTTCACCCAAAAAAAACAAAAACCAAAAATGTACGATTGACAACACTCACGTCTCGACACTGGAGAGCTTCTGAAAGGCATCTTATATATTAAGACACTGTAGGTTTCTGATCTCAAATTGGTTATTCTAAGGACATGGGAAGAGGTAAATGTGGAAGATGCTTGGGGGGGCGGGGTTACAGCATGAAAAATATTTTATAATACTAATGTGCAGATGTGCAGCATCATGGCGAAATGAAACGGAAACGAAAATCTACACGGATTTCTGTAGAGCTATTTGCCTCACTTGTACGTCTCTTTGGACAAAAGCGTCTTTTAAATAAAATAAATGTGAATGCATGAATCCCCACTGGGGGGGGGGGGGGGAGCCTGACGGCTCCTCCTTTTTTGATGGGAGGAGAATGAATTCAGTCATTGGTACCAAGGGTCCACTGAAAGGAGGTAATCTATCATCGTCTAGATTGGGGGTGACCTTTGAGGACACCATGATCAGGTTCAGAAGGTGTTCACAGTGGACCAGACCCAGAACCGATCCTGAGCAAGTTCCCTAGCAAGCAGCTATGAATAACAAACATTAATAACGATAAAGAAAATGCTGTTTTCTACTATATTCAAAACAGGAGTGTGAACATAAAGGAAATCTCCACGTGGTCCCAGTAAGGCCTCGATTCAAAGACCAGCTGGGTGGACTGAAGGAGTTTTCAGTGGCTGGATTCTGCCTGCTAGCACCCCCAATCCTCACAAGAACCCAGGAGAACCACAGCAGAGAACTCTGAACAGGACTATTAAAATGTTCCTGAAGGGCCTGGAGACACTGGTCACAGGAAAATAATTTCTATGTCCAGAAAAATGCTGTTGGTAACATGGGGACGCTTCCACAGGACAAAGGGATAAAAAAAATGATGTATACAGCTGGTGCGGAAACAGAATGGTCGGGACCATTTAAAGGTACAGCACAACGCCCTGGTCTCTACGGCGCCCCCTACAGGCCATACCAGACTTGAGACAAAGAAAGAGAGAAAGGGAGAGGCAGAATGGCCAGTGTACTGCACTACACATGTCGTATAAATTAACACAGGAAGCCAGAGGTGCTCAGGCTCACACACACACACACATACACACACACACGCACACGCACATGTCGGGTATACCTATCCTTATGGGGACCGCTCATTCATTTCTATGGGAAAAATGGTAGCCCCAACTATAACAACCTTATCCCCTAACCCTAACCATGACCATAAGTAACGAAACAAAATACAAGAGTTTTTGCATTTTTAGTTTTTTCATAGGAGTCACCGATTTTTCTAAAATAGTTTTCCCTTATGGGGACCAGGAAACCGGTCCCCATAAGGGAAAAAAATTGATATTTATCACGTTATGCGGACATTGTGTCCCCATAAGTATAGGTAAACCCGCTCACACACACACACACACACACACACACACACACACACACAGCTCACAGTAGTTCAATGCTCTTACGGCAGTTCGCCGTTTTCTAACTGAAACACCACTCACACCACCACTCGCGTGTATAAAATACGCTTTAAATTTCTCGCTTATAATAAAAGTTCTCTCTCTCCCCATAAACATTTTATATATCTGCTAACATCGTATAAAAAGCTGGGTACGAGGCTGGCGGTCGGAGTCCAGCTGATCGGCCGCGCCTTCTCGGAATCGCGCCAACGCGGCCGGGAATGTTAGTGTACGGGCGGAACCGGGAGAACCCGTCTGAGGAACGGACAGGCGACACGAACGGTAGCTGGGTATCTGATAATCATCTTTGGAGTCTCTGTCACGCTGGGGTGTGGGCAGAGCTGGCGGTGCTGGGAGGTCAGTCCGACTCCCGGTGGATCTCAGAGGCGTCGGCCCGGCATATCGGACACGTCCTGTTGGCCTGCGGACAAGAGATGGGGTAAGGACTGCTGATTAAAGCAGTACATCGTTAGCTCCTCAGTCGTTTTATGCCTCAAGGTGATGAAAGTGATGTTTTTTTACCACTAAATGCCAAGTATCACCATAGAGACGGTATTTATCACAAGCCAATGATGTGTTTTGAATCGGTGAGGGACAGGGGAGGGGCAATCCTGGAGCCAATCATCAATCAATCCTGGTGCCCCCTGTGGCCCCGCCCCTATTTATGTTCCTGGCAAATACTGACTGAGGGACCGGAGAAAAAAAAAAGACACGGAGATAAAAACGCAGCATGCTCAGCGCCTGCAAGGGCTGTTATACCTCTAGAAAAAGGGACTTTGGATATAAATATCTACACAGGACAGGTGAATCGGATGCCAGCAGCCAGGGCTGGTCTTGGGGGCGGGGGGGTTGGGGGGGTGCCGCTCACCTTGAGCCACTTGTCGACGCACTTGCCATGGAACTCGTGGCTGCAGGGCAGGACGCGCAGCAGCTGCCGCGACTCGAAGTCGCACATGCAGACCACGCACCTGCAATGCCAATTGACGCAGCCGTGAGGCGCTGTCCGCATCCTGACCATGCAGATCCCAGATCCTCTCTGCTCTTCCAGCTCCAGCCGAGGCCACGCTGTCCCACCCCCTGCTCTCAGTCATAGCCCCTCCCCCGGAGTATCTTCCCCGCCTCCTACCTTCATTAAGAGCCCCTCCCCCCCAAGGCCCTGCCCTCACTCACAGAGTCTGCTCCGATTGGTGGTTATTGGGGTTGAACCGATACGAAGGCAGCTGCTCGATGTCGGCCTTGGTCAGGCCCCTGGGCTTGGCCTCCCCCAGCCGCTCAGCCAGGTTCAGCAGGGCCTGGGGGGGGGGGGCATTATGTCAATCAATCATTAGGAAGCACTCTCACCCGCTGTTCCCTCATTACAGACTAATGGTCATTGCAAGAATCTCATTACTGGGAAACCTGCCCAGCATACAGATCAGCGTGAAAACAGAGCAGATTTCATCCATGCATAACTACTTTATACAGCATGAGAGGGGTGTGATCAATAACGGGAAATGTGAGATGAGGGGAGGGGCAAATGAGAGAGGGGTGTGGTCAATAACAGGAAGTGTGAGATGGGGGGAGGGGCAAATGAGAGAGGGGTGTGGTCCATAACAGGAAGTGTGAGATGAGGGGAGGGGCAAATGAGAGAGGGGTGTGGTCCATAACAGGAAGTGTGAGATGAGGGGAGGGGCAAAAGAGAGAGGGGTGTGGTCAATAACAGGAAGAAATGTGATGTGGGGCACCATGCAGACCTCATAGTTCTCCACCTCTCCGTCGTCCACTTCCAGCTCCAGGCTGATGGCAGGTCCCACGCTGGGCTGCACCGGGAGCATGGAGCTGAGGGCAGAGGAGCAGCATAGTCACACGCATCTCCGATGGTGTATAGACACACACACAGACACACAGACACACAGACAGACCCCACACCTCAGTCACAGGGCAGGCAGAGAATGTACCAAACAGTAAGGACCCTGGGAGGGACCCAGAGACACCCTGGGAGGGCGCTGACCTCCACTCACACAGACCAGGCCACCCCCGGGGGGGTCACTCAGCTACCCACAGAATCACGGTGCCGCCCAACAGCTCAAAGGCACACGGACATTTGTACCACTCTGGCTGAATACAGTGCTGACCGAAGGTCCTGGGACACTTTCTTAACTCTGTAATAATGTTGCAAATTTATTGGTTTCATAACAGAAGCCCACTGACAAGCCATGTTTAACACATCTGCACACGTCTCCCACACAGACACTCCCTTTTTGCCTCATTCACTTCTCTTCTTGCCATTTTGCTGTTAATTGCAGTTGTAGTCACTGACTCCCATAGGGATACTAAACACCAAAGTCTGGCGTTTCATGTCATTGTAAAGGTGTTACTAATTAAAAAGCACGCAATGAGACTGCTTGTCAATGAACTTTCTAACTCCAAACAGCTCTATTAAAACTATAATTTGGGTTTTATTACTACTTGAAATAAATGTTTTGCTTAAAATTACTGGTTGTTTCTAATGTGATATATATTATCTATAAATGAAGTAATCATTTTTATTATAAAGAACAATAAATTTGCAATGTTTTTATATATTGTGTCATTTGCACAGGTACATTGGAATGCATCTCTTTGCTGAGCCCATCTTGCTCTGGGGTCACAGCACAGGGTCAGCTAACGTGCAGCGCCCCCCCCCCACACATGTGTGACTGTTCCGCTGAGGCTGGGGCTCAGACCGGTGATCTTCTGAGCAGAGGCACAGAGATTTAGCCCACTGAGCCACTCACTGCCCCCTTATACTGGACTACAGAGGAATTAAAGTACAATTAAAAATATTTCTGAACCCAAGTGAAAATACCCATGACAGGAAGCAGTCACATGCTACAACACCTATCAAGCAGGGTTTCCTATTACTTAATAGCATGTTCGTATATTAGAACGATCAGCACCAATAGCTGGCCTTGTCTTTGCTACCTCTGAGTAACAGCGTTTGTGATTGGAAGATGATACTAACAGGAAGTAAGGCAGGAAGCTGGGGTGGTATGGGGGCGGGGGCAGGGGCTGCTGGGAGCGGTACCGGCGTCCGGTGAGCCGTCGAGGTATGAAGTGAGGATACGGCTGTTCGAGGGAAACAAAGAACACCGTCAGTATGCAGCTAGTGATACAACATGGCAGCATAAATAAGGGCCAAACGCAGGTTTTAGTAAACGGGTCTTACCACCCCGAACAGCTCCTGGGGCAGCGGGTCGTGGGAGAGGAAGGGCATCTGTGAGGACGGGGGCAGATTGCTGGGGTGTGCCGACTGGGGGTAGCCAAAGGCCCCGCCCACTGAGAGAGGCTCTCCGAGAAGGTCGACCTCATTCTCAATTCTTTGCAGCGCCTGCAGTGAGGAGACAGACGCTGACACAGCCACACAGGAAGGGGGCGCTAGAGGCTAGGTTAAGTCGGAGGCCACTGGTTCCAGTCAGCGCCGGGTTTGTTGTTTCTGGGTCCCACTCAAAAATGCTACTTCGGTGTAATGTAGTGACTGTTTGTGGCCAACAGGGGGCCAAACTACGATTTGAGCAGCGTAAAACCCCACCAAAGGTTCCTGTGACACAGACATTAAAGGGGCGCTCTGTATCTTTAAAGGGAGGCACATAAAATAGTTAGGGCAAAAGGAGCAGCCCCCCCCCCCCCCCCCCCCCCCCGCTCCTGCACACCCTGATATATCGTTTCATTCATCTATCAGACACTCTCGCTAAATTAACCAGCCGGAACATCGAAACCTCAGCAGCACGATGCAGTCTGAACCACAGCTGTCTCTCGTGTGTCTATGTCGCAGGAGCACAGTGGCTTAACCGAGTACAGTGACGCTTTGGGGGGGGGGCGAGATGGGACTCACCGAGCGGGACTGGTGCGTCTGGAAGGGCACGATGTGTCCGGGGGTGGGCAGGTGGGCCGGGTGGTGCGAGACGTGCGACGGGTGCAGGAGGAACGGCGGCTCAGCGGACAGGATGGAGGGGAAGCCGTAGGGGACGGGCAGGTGGTGGACAGAGCAGGCCTGCAGAACCTGGGAGACAGACAGAGGGGGGGGTTCAGAGTGGGTTTGTTGGCCCCTGCTGGCCACAAGCTGTCACTACACTAAATATTAAGTTAATATGTTCCCGAAGCAGCATCATTTGTTAAGTAGCTAGTTAGCTACGGTCTTCTACGGGGAGGGGGGTCTTTGTGGGTGGGGCCACAGAAACACTGAAACCCCCCCCCGCATACACCGCCCTGATGCACATGGCTGAAATGCCAGTTCGAGCGCAGTGGATCCAGCTCCATCTTTAAGGCAGCTGTGCAGACGCAGATGCACAGCATGCGCGACTCCCTTCTGCATTAAGACGGGCTGCGGAGGCCAAATCTTCAGCGTTATCCTGAGAACATCTGCAATAAAAATGGCACTACGGCAGTGAGCTGCGGGCTGCGGCACTGAATACTACACTTATATTTTACGGCTTAATAAAAGCCATGAAACACGCTAACGGAAAGCTCGCCTGCAACAGCACGGTTACGACATGAACCATAAAATGTGCAGGTTTATTACTGAACCTCCCCGAAACTCCCGCTCCACAGTACCAGGGACCGCAGGATTCGGGATGATCAGCCTCCCAACGGCTACCATGGCAACTAATGAAGAGTGAACTGTGGGTATTTAGTGACAGGCAGACACAGGCAGACACAGGCAGACACAGACAAGCGAATCAGAGATGCAAACAGGCAGATGTAGAAGGGCAGACCAGCAGACTGGGACATATGCAGGGAGATGCAGACAGACAGACCCAGGCAGACTGACAGACACAGACAGACAGACAGACGCAGGCAGACTGACAGACACAGACAGACAGACAGACGCAGGCAGACTGAACAGACAGACAGACAGACGCAGGCAGACTGACAGACACAGACAGACAGACAGACGCAGGCAGACTGAACAGACAGACAGACGCAGGCATACGCAGACGGACAGAGCGGCTCAGTCAGACGCAGGCAGACAGACACAGACAGACAGATGCAGGCAGACACAGGCATACGCAGACGGACAGAGCGGCACAGTCAGACGCAGCCGGCACTCACCTGCGGCGGCACACTGCACATGGGGTAATGCTGCCCACTGAAGAGCAGCGAGCAGCCGGGGACCTGCTGTTGGGAGGAGCAGGCGGGGAGGTGCTGTTGGGAGGAGCAGGCGGGGAGGTGCTGCCCCGTGCAGAGGGGGGTGGGCAGCCCGGGGGGCACCGTGTAGGAGACGGGAACAGAGCCCTGCTGTAGCTGGGGGGGGGGGGGGGGACTGATTAAATACACACAGCCTCCCGTTAACGGGGCACAATCCGATTTAACCTGGGGGGTCACCTCACCTGGTCATGCAGGTCCACCATCATGGTGCTCTGCTGCTGGGGGTGCAGCAGGCGGGGGGAGAGCGCGGGGGGGTGGAAGGCCCTGGGGTCCTCCAGGCCCTGCGGGGGGGGCCTGTACGGGAAGCTCTGTGCCGGGTGCTGGTGGCCGTCATCCTGCCCCACCCCTAAGGGGCCGTGGTGCCGGGGGGGGCGCTCCCGCCACCCGCGCTGCCGTCGTACCGGGGGGCTGGGGGGGAGGGGGGGGGCGAAATCTGTTAGCATGTGGTTAGCATCCATTGGTATAGCGACACACAGACACACACACCTGCGGGGGTGACGGGCCGGCGTGTTGCAGCGCTCGCTGGGGTAGTGCGCATGCGGGTGCACGTGTGGCCGCCGGCTGGGGGGCAGCTCCCACGGCCGCATGGGGGGTGAGGGCGTGGGGGGAGGGGCCGACACCAGCTCCAGGCCAGACTGCTGGGACAGGCGCTGCCTTTTCGGCCGGGGACTGTCGTCACCCTGTGGGAATGTACGTTATACAGTCATACATACAGTCAGAATGTACCATTATGGAGGGCGGGGGGCATGCTAATGTACGTTACATCATACATACAGTCAGAATGTACCATTATGGAGGGCGGGGGGCATGCTAATGCATATTACATCATACATACAGTCAGAATGTACCATTATGGAGGGCAGGGGGCACGCTAATGCATATTACATCATGCATACAGTTGGAATGTACCATTATGGAAAGCAGCAGAAGGGAACATATTTAATGTAACATCAAACATACAGTTGGAATGACCCATTACAGAGAGCAGGGAGGCACATTAGTATATCATATGTACAGTAGGAATGACCCATTACAGAGAGCAGGGTGGGGGGGCATGTTACATGCTGCAAGTAAAACATTGAACCCGTTGCACCTAAAGCATCTAAAATGTATTCTGATCTTCATCAAAGTCATAAGACACAAAAGACACTAACAAACATGATCACATGATATTTCCCATTTACATATCTTTACTGGATAGATGGTCTAAACATCAAGGTTACTGGTGGAAAAGTATGTGAATCTTTAGGATAAACTCAGGTCTGACTTTTACCCAGTCTCTCAGTCCTGGGGCCTGCACTACGAAGCGGGGTTACTGGCTTATCGGGGTAACTTGTCGGATTTAAGGTCATTTGAGCAAAATGTAAGTGAAGGAATATGAAGTCCATTTAAACTGTGGTACCTTAAATCCGACAAGTTACCCCGATAAGCCAGTAATCCCGCTTCGTAGTACAGGCCACTGGTTACATGCTGTTCCATCCCAGTACGTTATGGTCCAATCAAAGAAACTTCCACAGCAGTGCAGACTGGAAGGAGCTGCAGTCGGATTTATAAAGACCTGAGCTTCCATAACTATGGTCAGGCAGAATTCAGGAATCCAGAGCGTTTCTGTCCTCCCTAGGAGCAGAAGTGCTGCAAAGATCACGGCAAGAGCGCAACATCCAGTGCCGCCAAAGGTGCGGATCGAGTCCTGGGTAAGGAGACCTACCTGCAGAAACCTCTGCGATTCCCACACGTTCCAGTTCCCATATCCAGTACAAGAAAAACACTGGAGCTCATGGAAGCAGGGGCAGGCTTGTTTTCTCTGGGGCGCCACCCCAAAAGTGACTTTGGGGTCCGACACCACCCCCTGGTGTAGTGACAGTTAGTGCCATACAGGGGGCGCCCAAAGCTTCCAGCAAAGCAGCAGCACTATACAGAAAGGAAGAGACGCCCGTTCTTGCACAATATTTCATTATTGCTCTTTGTTTTAGTATTTGTAGGGGGTGCACAGGCAGTCATGGGGGGGGGGAACCGACACGGCCTAAAACACAACGCTGCACGTCATTAAGGTCCCTGAAAGGCCATGTTGCCTCCAGACGAAGGAGACAAAAGCTGAACCTCTTTACTAGAAACGTAGGCAAACCAGCTCTGCAGACCAGTAACGAAACCTCACCCCAAGTGTGAGGCGTGATGGAAGCAGAGATAAAGAGAGTTTCACACAAGACACTGCAGATATATCAGTGAAATGAAACAAGGAACAATCTAAAATTCCTCCAACCCATCGTGGAAGTGTAATCAGCAGTTCAGAATCTCCTAACAGTTTTTCCTACCACTGTTCATTACATCATAAATAAGTCTACAGGGCCCATCACACGGGATAAACATTCTCCTATGACATCACACGGGATAAACATTCTCCTATGACATCACACGGGATAAACATTCTCCTATGACATCACACGGGATAAACATTCTCCTATGACATCACAAGTGCTTGCACCTCTTTACCATTAACAGTGTGACCCAAACCACGCAGACTCACAGAATAACCACCATCCCACCCACGAGCTCATAGGCAAACCAGGATGCCGATTTTGCCGTGTCAATGACCAGTTTCAAAAGCCCTTCAGAAGGATTAGCCAAGGGGCGGGGTCTTGTACGCGTAAGCCAACCCGGCTACGGTATCCACTAACCACTGGCATATGATTGGCTGTTGTGCATGTCTGTACACTGAGGGCGGGCTTACAGTAGCCGTCCTGTTCGCTAATCGATGTAAACAAAGACCCAAAATAATAAGATACTTTTTGTTTAGGTATCATTTGGGAGATTTCACATTAACAATATGCACGCAAAACAACCCCACCCAAACAATACTATATTACATTACATTTATTTTGCAGATTGTTTTATCTGAAGTGACATGCAGACGGTCCCTGGAGCGATTTGGGGTTAAAGGTCCTGCTCAGGGGCCCAACAGTGACATCACTCTGCTGGACCTGGGATATGAGCCGGCAACCTCCTGATTACAGGCAGTATCCTGACCCACTGAGCCAGACACCTCCGCCCTACTATATAACACACCCACAGTCCCACCCACAGGAAACGGCGAAGCTGGGACTTCCTGTCATGGCAGAACTGCACGGCGGAATCCGAGGGGGGGGCACAACCACGCCTCGGCCCAACTACGCCCACTCCTCGGTACAGCCACCGCCACCAGAGAGCCAGCGTAGGGGGGGAGGGGGGGTTCAGTGTGTGCCAGGAGAGGGGACACACAGTTTCCATACTGCAGAGGTACTCTGACCCTAACAGAAAGCCCTAAGGCCAGAGACATCCTGGCCAATCCCACAGAGTACAGCACACAGCAGAATGAGGACAGCTTCCCCCACAAGCACATAATGGTACATTCCGTGGCATCATGGGAAGGGGAAAAAGGAGCGAGGACAGACACATGACACCTTATTTTATTTTTCTGGGGGGGGGGGGGCTATTTGGTTAACGGTGTAGCTGAGAGGTGCCAAAACCACTCAGTCATGTAAAGCCTAGTAAAGACAGGCTGTTTGCTCAGATGTGCGACACACAGACACAAAAAAAAAGTCAATGCAGGTGTAGCAGGAGGTGAGGATGCATTTATCTGGCATTATTGCATTATTCTGAGCTTCCTTGAGATCTCTGGGTCTCCTGTCATTGACATATGCCAAGCAGAAACCCAATGAAATCTAGCACCCCCTAAAGGTCACACCAGTACCTTACAGCTATACCCCCAGTCTTCAGACTCCGCTGTTATTTCTTCCTCCAACAGGTAATCTCCCCCCCATGCCCCAGCAGTTCACCCTCACCTTGTCGCTCTCGTCACTGCATACCCTCTCAGGGTACCGGCCCAAGGCGGTGTTGAGTCCTCCTGTAGGTAGAGGGAACGAGGAGTTAGCTTTGGCGCTAGTCGGTCGTAGCGTACCAGCTTGGCACGGGGGCGTCATCCTCGGTCATTTCAGAGGAAGGACCAAACTTATCCATGGCAACAGAGACACAACCACGACAGAAATAACACTGAGATACAAAAATAGCACCAGAGGATGAACACAAATCATTTGGGCAAAAATTAGCATTTTAAAGTTCTGACGGTATCATTCCCAAGCTTTCAATAGCTAACCTTGATTTTCCTTCCTTTGTTCAGGAATGCGTAAGACTTAAGAGAAAGGTCATATTCTATTAAACACCAGATTAAAGGGACTGTTCCCTTCATTTTAACATCAACTTTAAAACACAAAATGACCAAGAAATGTGTTCAAAAGACTTCATTTACAAATCGACATTTTCTATTATAGTCACACAATCACCAAACACGTCAATGAGGAGAGGATAAGACATCTTTGAAAGCACTTTTAAAAATCAAAGGAAACCTAAGCATGCTGGGATTTTTTTTTCTGTCACGGCTGTAAGGTGCCAGCTGTGGGTGTCGCCAGGGGAGCCGCTTATACGGGGAAAGTTCAGTGACACGAGACCCAGATTCCGGAGCCTTGAAGTCAAATCAGATCACTTTACACGTCGTGTCACCTGACACCCAGTGGACCGCAGGTGAGTGAACGACTTGTGTTCAGATTCCCACAACAGCAGCGACAAAATACTGCGAATACGAGAAATATGCAAATATAAAAGTACAAAAATGGCAGATAAACATAGTAATAATAAATTGCGTACAAATTTGAAACAAAATTAATACAATGAACAGCAATACAGAAATTATGACTGTTGGTTCAGTCTTCTTAATATTTGTGTCTAATTTGCACATATTATTATTATTATTATTATTATTATTATTCTTTATGAGCAAAGGAAGGCGTCAGATGCCCCCTTCTGCACCTTCCACATCCCACAGATGCCACATGGTGTTCTGAGGGCCAATCAGCTGCAAGCGTTGGCGTGACAGGAGCCGCAATCCTTTGCACGAAAACCCAGGATGACAGGAACATCCGCGAGGGCGGGGCACCAATAAGGACGACCCCCCCCTCCCCCCCACCATTAAAACAGCATGGTGGAGGACAACGGAGATGGCTCTGTGCCAGATTGAATTACAGATTCACACGTCGTCATGGCGAAGGGCACAAGAAGAAGCGGAGCGACCTGTTAGTGCGTTTAGCGCACAGAGACACGGGGGCCGAATTCCTGCTCCTGGGGCCGCAATTAAACGTCACTTTGGGGCCCCAGAAAAAATATTGCTCAAAAATACTCCCTAGCTATTTATAGAGGAAAGTCAGAGGATCATCGCTAGCTAGCTGGTTAGCAGAACCTGCTGCTTCAGCATCTCCTAATTAAGTAAATATTTAGTGTAGTGACTGTCAGTGCCCAACAGGGGGCCACAGGCAAATATGTGATTTGAGTGGCGGTAAACACACACACACACACACTCCCAAACACTGGATCCACACAGCTGGGGGGGGGGGGGGGGCATAAAAGGAAAGGGGGAGATGAAGGAGAGATGGGATCAAAGCACCTCCTGAAACATGTGTGTTTGGTCTGCTGGACTCAGGCCCGATCAGCACCAGCCATTCAGAAGCATCCAGACAGCCATCCATCCCCCCCTTTTAATGGGCAGGATCTTAAAGCTCTGATTGGGCAGCGTGGTAAAGGGGCGTGGCCTTGGTCATGTGATTACCTGGTGGCAAACAGAATTATGATGCACAGGATGTGTGTCCTTCACCGGGGGGCCCTTACTCTGAGGATGGGAGCTACGTGGGGGTGTTAGCTGGTGTGGTGATGGAGCACCAGTAGATGGGAATCAGTGGGGTGCCGTGCAGCTAAAAGACATGCGGAGGGGGCTGCGGTCATCGATCCGTCCCTGAGAGACTCACATCACATGTCCCTAACCTGCTCTTTCTCTCTCCCCCTCCCTGAGCAGCTGTGCCCCTCTTTGCCCCCCCCCCCCCAGCATATCCTCACACCCCACTCGCTGGCTCCCCCCACTCCGAATCGATCCCTTTCGCTCCAGTTCCCCCACCCTGAAAGACATCGCATCACCAGACAGATCTAGTTAAAGAGCCAGGAATGTAGTGCTCATGAGAAATCCAGCGCTTTATTAACAGAGAGTGGTGTTTCGGTCATGTGACCCGCAGTCACGGCAACACACAGCCAATGAGGGCATACGGCCTTTCTGAGCACTGTATTTGTGAAGGCTGGGTACAGAACCCTCTATGTAATGGAGGTGAAATATGTATACATACGTATGTCTATGAAAGTACAGCACATGCCTCATATCCAACAGGTTGCCGGTTTGAGTCCCAGGGCAGGTGTCAGAAGAAGAATCTGGATTTTTAACCTACCGAAGTACCCATAATAGCATCAGCTGCTGAGAAATCAAAGCAGTGCAGTGGAATACAGCCGCAGAAGGGAATTGTGGGAACAGAGGAGAGGATTCTGGGATACGCTAGACTATCCAGAATTGATAATGGTGGATGGCACTTTAAAGATAATGAAAAGAATAAGGCTAAATGATATTAGTCTACGAATCATTGAATGACTAGTTAATATGAATCATGACCCACAGTAATCAAATTGTAAACATTCCATGTGTAACTGTGCTGTTTAAATAGTGTTTTAGAGGAACAGGCACGGAAGGGAGTAAAAAGGCTACCTTTACTTTAGCGATTTTGGAGCTCAGTACTTTATTTGGGGGTTAGCACATCACAATCCATGAACCTCCTTTCTGCATCCAGGCAGTGACGAGATGGTTCTTTAACTACAGCGCCCCCTATTGGTACAGTGGTGTGTCCGCCAGGGGCCAGTACACAGGCCATCGGGAACTGAGAGAGGCTGACTGCCTCGCTGCTGAAGCACCAAATCACGAATCCAGCAGCAGAGAAATAAAGTAAAAAAAGAAATACTGAGAGTTTAAAAAAAAAAAATCTCCCTGGGGCGTGTTTTAAATAACATTACCGTGAATGGAATAGCAAAGGGCAGTGAGACTAAATAAAACAATTACAATGAATTTGCAGTAATAATCCAGCCGTAATCTTTAACGCACATCATAGGTTTCAGACATCTCACAAATTACTCCGATAATACATTTACATTTATGAACCAATCCGTAAAACAACCATAATTACAATTTTACAGCCGTATATTTGTTTTAATTCGCCCTTCATTCTCGGTATATTTACAGCCACATGAGGTTAAAAACAAACATGCTTAGTAGCTGGCTATGTGGAGTTCTTTACCTGCTATCTATTAACAGCTGCAATGTGCATGATTTAATTCAATTTATTTTAAAACGGGTCGTTTCGGTAGCCTTCCGCGTTGACGGAGAGCCAGATGAAAGCCAAACGCAATAAAAAGGAAAATGGACGTCGAGAAACAGTAAGAAACAAGGGACATGTTAAGGGGCCTAATTAAGGATCAGCAGACTAGCTGTAATTAATTATGGCGGATTGTGTACAGATTTCAAAGCAAGCGGAACGGCCCATTGTCAGACATAAAGGGCCAGGGACGACTGAACAGTGTGAGCTCAGGCTTTCAAAAAATGAATCATAAGACATACAAATGAAGCTGATTAGTAATTAGGGCTCTGTGTGTCACGCAGGTTTTCTCTGCATACTCCTGCTTCCACACGCGGCCCAAGGACAGTGTGTACCGGACACTGGGCTGGCGCCCCACGCAGGGCACCCCCTGCCTTCTGCCCCGGCATGGTGCACCCTCCGGTACCGCAGTTAGCGGTTAGGGATCCGTGGGTTGGGGGTTCCTTAAGGCGACAGACCTCCCACAAGGTCATTCTTCAGTAACATCCTTTTAAAAAAAATATCACTGCACTTCTGCCCCCTACAGGACAATGACAGGTAAGTGATAAGAGAGCATGGAAATTACCCTTTAAACACCCACAAAAAAATAATAATAATTACAAATATTTATATTTAATCCGGCCTCGGCTGACTGTCAGCTGGCTGGGTTGGTGTCTCTGAACCCCAGGCCTCGTGTGTTCAGCGCCTTCTCAAGCCGGCTGAACACGAGGGGACACCCTGAACAGAGTGGCATGATCTCTTAGATCCCCCCCCCCAGCACCACAGAGGGAATTCCGGAAAATGAGTGATGCTCTACATTGTATAGGTTTTTATGCTAGGCCAGCACAGCACAGGAGTGTGTGGTCTCCTGGGACCTGTGTGTGTGTGTCTATTTTTAAGGGGGGGGGGGGTTACATTATTATTGCTGCCGCCATCAAACCCTGCTGACTGAACGACCCGGATCACACTGAGAAATCCTCCTGCAGCCCAATTCCTACATCATCCCAGACTGTAAAAATCACGCCAGACAGAGCTAAGGATTCCGGCCTGGATACACAGAGACACACACACAGTCACACACACTCATACAGACAGTCACACACACACTCATACACACAGTCACACACACACACACACACTCATATACACAGTCACACACACACACACTCATATACACAGTCACACACACACACACACTCATACACACAGTCACACACACACTCATGCACACAGTCACACACACACTCATGCACACAGTCTCACACACACACACTCATACAGTCACACACACAGTCACAGTCACACACACACAAACTCATGCACAGTCACACAGTCACACACACACTCATGCACACAGTCACACACAGTCGCACACACACATACACAGAGTCACACACACACTCATACACAGAGTCACACACACACTCATACACACAGTCACACACACACTCATACACAGTCACACACACTCACTCACAGTCGCACACACACTCATACACAGAGTCACACACACACTCATACACACAGTCACACACACACTCATACAGTCTCACACACACTCACTCACAGTCGCACACACTCATACACACAGTCACACACACTCATACACACAGTCACACACACACTCATACACAGAGTCACACACACACTCATACACAGTCACACACACTCATACACAGTCACACACACTCATACACAGTCACACACACTCATACAGTCTCACACACACTCACACACAGTCGCACACACTCATACACACAGTCACACACACTCGCACATGCAAAACAAGCCCTTTGTGGGGCGGGGGCAGGGGCTGGATGGAAGGGGGGGGGGCAATACGGAATGTGCGTGTGAAAGACAAAGCGCTGAAGAGACGGGGGCCGAGGAAAAAAGCCTGCAACAAAAACACACCCACCTAACGGGGGAGGGGGGGGGTGCTAAAGGGAGAGAAGGCCAGCAATGGAGGGGGGGGGGGCACCCAGTACCCCGCTGTGGCACCCAGTACCCCGCTGAGGCAGTACCCCACCAGTCACTGTGCAGAACTCAGACCCCCAAATGTCTTTCTTTGTCGGGGTGCAAGTCCCAGCGAGCCACCCAGGCTACAGACGCCCTGGGGAGCAGCCGCCCTGGAGAGCAGCAACCCTGAGGAGCAGCCGCCCTGGGGAGCAGCAGCCCTGGGGAGCAGCAGCCCTGGGGAGCAGCAGCCCTGGGGAGCAGCAGCCCTGGGGAGGCTGGTTGGAGCAGCAGCCCTGGGGAGGCTGGTTGGAGCAGCCCGGTTGAGCACAGAGCCCCTGAGCTCTGCGACTCAGAAAATCACACGCCTTACAGCATACCACACAGGCAAGGCAAAAGCCAGCGGGTGGGCACATGAGGTCGTTTTTACAGCTTAAATGGTCAAATCTTCCAAACACAACCCCCCGCTCCTCGCAGTCTTCCCCTACATACTGACACCAAACAATGATCATGCCCAGGTCAAGCTCAGGACATCCGAAGACCCAGTCAGGGGGACCCACACAAAAAAAATCACTTTGGGGCCCCCTATGTAGTGATTGTTTGTGGCCCACAGGGGGCTCCACGCAAATGAGCGGCTTGAGTGGTGGTTAACCGCAGTTACAGACCGCATGCCTCAGTGAAGCTTGTGCCCTACAGTCATTGGGCAGGGCACATTAGCGCCCCCTATTGCACAAAAGGGGATTACTAACATATTGACACGATACCAGACACAAGGGCCGTCTTAATGGGATTAGAAAGAGAAGCTTCAAAGCATAAACAGGCAAATCTGAGTCTGAACCCAGATCACCAACTTCTCATAAACAGTCTAAAAGTAACACAGAAGCGCAAATGACCACGGATTCTGCAGCCATAGCAACGGGGAAGCCATGCAGCAATTCATCACAAGAACGAAAATGCACTTAAAAAAAAAAAAAACAACCCACTTCATTAGAACCTAGAGCAAAAGTCAACTGGGCACAAGCACAAAAGAAAACATCTCAGCAGATCACTGAGTCCCAGAGCTGGAAACAGAAACCTTCAGACATGCTCAGTTATACACACAGAGATAATGCTGACGTGAGATGGTGAGGTGGTGAGATGTGAGATGGTGAGGTGGTGAGTAGCCTCACATGGACTCCGCACGCCTCTTTCTCAGCCTGCACATGTGTTAACAGTCCCACTCCATACTGTACCCCCCCCCACAGGGTTATGCGCATCCACAGGGTCTGTATTATAACTAGACAGGATCCCTGAATACAGCTGTCAGAAGATGCCTTTCCATTGACTCCCTGCTACTCTCGGCCGTTTTTCATAATAATATTATTATTAATAATAATGGTAATAATAATAGTCTGCCATGATGTCACTGCACCCCCCTCCCCCCACCACAACTGTCTGACCCCAAGAGTGGCCCTGCCCCCCTGACCTCAGCTGTGCCCCCACGGAAACAGTGCTAACTACCCTCACTCACAGCCGCTAAATCCCCGCCAACCCAAACCTCGACAAAATGGCCGAAAGATGCGGACAGCCCCAGAGCAGCAGAGTGAGCAGACTCAGCCCCACACCCCTAGGCTGCCCCCTACTGGGCAGTACAAGGCAGTGCTCCGGCCACGCCCACATCTTCCGATTCCAGAGCCTGGAACGCTACTCCGACCACTCCACTACAGAGATGGAAAATTTCCCCGAACACACAGCAACCAAAAACACAAACGTCTTAAAACCTTTTCCACAATAAGACAAAACATGGCTTGGCAAAGCAACACCCAGTGACAATTAAGAATCATGAAACAAACCAAAAATAACTAAATACACTGGCAGCGCCTATAGTAGTTTTGCAGGCAGATTTTCATCCAGCATAACTAAGCGTTAACATTTGTCCAAACTGGGTTAAATCACAAAGACTAACAGTCTGCTTAGTTACCACGGAGACCCGGCAGGCAGACTGCCCACAGGGGTGACCCAAAAGCCAAAGAAGCCATTTATAGTCTGCGTGTATCTTACAAGTGGGCCTCTCCTGAACCATTAGCATAGCAGAGGTTGTTGAGTTACGTGACCGTTAATATTTCCATTGAGAGACAGCCTCCAAATATCCGTCGAACAAATAAAAACTTGACAGAACACTCCCAAAAACCTCATCAAAGTTAACATCTACATATTTTTTAACCGCATAGCCTAGTCAAGGTGAAGAGAGGGCCTGAAACTTATCTGCACACAACCATACACTATAGGCTAATTAGTAATTCATTTACAAGCCAATTAGCCACACTGGTTAGCCTTCGACTGCAGGAGCAAATCAAAGACCCAGAGGAAACCTATACAACATAAGCGGCCTGGATCATGCAAACTGCACACACACACATACACACCAGATGTGGGACTTAAATCCCCAGCCATGCATATGTGAGGAAACTGAGCTTTGCAGTGAGGTATTGAACAACTTGATGGAAGTTGGGAAAACCCAGTTATAGCACATTTCCTCAGAGCCTTCAGGACAGGAGCTGTGAAGAAAACAGTTCATCTGTCAGAGGACAGCGGCACAGAAACTAACAGGACAGCGAAACCCCAGAGTCACCGTGCTGCAAAGGCAGAACATCTGGAAATAAATCCAGCTGGGGGGAAAGGAGTGGGATTTAGGGCTGGATATGAGAAAGACCCACGGAAACATGAAGACGATCCATGAGGACAGTGGCCCAGTGTGCGATGTGAAAGAGAGAGGCTAACGTGCAGAATGCTGACCGTACGCTTTCAGATGGGCCTGGATGAAAACCCAGAAGGAGGAGAAAAAAGAGGGGAAAGGGGAGGTATGAACTTAGTAAGCAAATCAGAGCCGTCTTCGGACACATTTTCTTCCAAGCCAGACGCCCTTAAAAAAATCTCCACTTGCCTGCAAGTTATTTGAGGGAAAGGAGCACGATCCATATCGGCGTAGAAAAGCGGGTAACAGAGCAAGACGCCAAAGGCCGCCAGTTCTGGTGTTAAGAGACGTGAAATTTGGCGGCTCTGCCGCGTTTACATTCATCTCCATGAGTATAAAACCCACCGACTCCCTGAGGCCGGACCCGGTCCAAAATTATTCCCATTGCCAGAATGTTTCGCAATTTGTTCAGCTTGTTATAATACTCGTTCATGGTATTATAAGGTGAGTATAGTGAAACCGTGCATGTGTTCAAAACAGATCCGCTACGTGCAGCGTACCGCACAAAAGTGAATGATAAAAACAAAAATTATGTCACCTTAACAGTATCGGTGAGACGTTAAAGGGCCTTTCCGTCTCAGCATGTGTGGTTGGTGCAAGCAAGTCTGACTGAACTTCATCACCGACAACGCTTTAAGAAGACTTGAGCATCAAAACAAACTGTCCCCTTTAATATAACCAAGAAACACCCACAAACATGCACCCTTTCAACTTTGCAACAAATAAACGGTATGTTTTATTTACAAAGAATATTTAGACAAATATTTAGTAAAAGCCAAGTGGCTCTTCAGTAGTTTGACGGAATATCACGGATACTTATGAAAGTTTGACAATATGACGTTAATTCGATTAAGCTATCGATCGTCTTATAAGAGAACCTAATTAATTTCAATCAACCTGATTAGACAGACGGGCGAAAGTCTCTTAACACTAAAAAGCACATAAATTGCGCGTAGTATTATATTAGAAATGTGAACTCAATCCCTCACGGGAAAAAATACAACGGGTTGACAATTTCTAGGCTACTGGTTAAGTATCGTACTTTGCTTTTCCAATGAGCTGCTACGATATTTAAAATGCGACACGAGCAAACAAGAGTTTTGCAAATGGCATTTTTAAGAAATACGAATGACACTCTCCTTATTTCCATAATGCAAACTAAGAGATTTTACGCATTTAAAGGTAAATATATTAGTACAAATAAAAAAAATACTACATTTAAAGTGTTGATGTGTAATAAAGCGGGGAATTGGATTCCTTTACAGATCAGCTACATGTTTCAATAGAAATGGAAACAGTAATATCAAACTCGTCGTGCAAAAATAACCTGCCGTCTCCTGATTCGCGAGGTTGTCTGGGGGGGAGCTCCCATAACGGGGTTTCTGAAGCCACCAGGGGGAGGGGTATGTTTATTACCTGCAGCGTGGCTTCTGTGCGCACCGGGCTGGTTCCCTCCCTGGGAGCGCTGTGCATCGGCGGGGCTGTGCACCGTCAGTGCCACACATCCGGGGCTGTGCTGCCGGGGGCGGTGTGTGCCGGTGCCCCCGCCGGCACCGATGCTGCCGCCGCCGCCGCCGGTAAGGTTGCCACTGCCGTTAACGCCGTACTGGTAAAAGCCAGACCGTGATCGCGATCGGGTCCTCGGTGGATCCATAGGCGGTGGGTGATGGTGAGGGGGATCGGACGAGACTGCGACGGAGACGGACCCAGGCGCTGGTGGGAGCCTGCTGCCGGTGTATCTGTGCCTCCCGAGTCCCCTGCCCCCCACCCCTTCACGCCTCCGTAATCGGCCTGCTCCTGCGACCGATACCCCCGCGTCCCTCACATTAATCACCCCGTTTCGGGATGGGGGCCGAGAATAAACACAGGGGTCCTGGGTTGTGGGTTTCTCCAGCTGCGGCAACTGGCATTTCCTCCTGGACTTCCCCCTTTGCCTCCTGCTCCTCCTCCCCTCTCTCTCGCTCTCTCTCTCTCCCTCTCTCTTTGCTCTCTCTCTCTCTCTGTAGTAGTTTCAAGCACTTCAGGCAGTTCGTGGCGATGGGGCTTCAGCTTGAGAGAGAGATCGGGACACGTCGGAGTCCTCTCATCTCCGCCCCACGTCTCACTGATTTATCCCCCCCTGTTTTACAACGCAAAATCAGCTAAGAAAAAAAACTCACATTTTAAAAATAAAACCCTGTCCTAATTTATGCTCCCCTTTTGTTTTTTTGTTGCTGGTGGGTGTTTAAAAACGGCACAGTAAACCAACCCTCCCTCTGCGCGTCTATTTCCTTGTGTTTAAGGATGTATCCTGGTAAGTATACAAAAAATATGTAACCCCCCAGCCTCGTAATCCCCCGATTTGTCCACCCCTCCCGGCTATCTGCTCCGCTGCTACTGTCTGCCTCCCCGGCTTCAGCTGGATAACCACTTTCCAACAGGCTGAGAAAAACAAGGGACACACACACCCCTCCCTATCCATGCACAACTAAACACGAGCGACTTCCGTGAAAGCCAACGGACGGCGTCGCCCTCCATGTGCGGACGCTATAATAACATGGGCGAAAAGCGGAATGCCAAAAAGGGGCGTTAATATCCAACTTGTGCAAAACCAGAAGTTAAATGCAGGCTACCTTAAGCGGGATTATAACCTGACTTCACTTTTTTAACCATGTATGGTTTATGTTTTAATCACCATTGGGATTATTATTATCGTGTAAAAGGTCGTTTCCTGCTTAACAAAATCATTCAGTGGAAATTTCGATAGAATATCCCTTATTCCATGTATTTAAATAGTACGGTTTATCACTTTAAAGTAACCTAGCAATGGCCAAGGAGTTTAAATTAAAACAAGCATAAGGACAGGGCTGAGTTCCACTACAGACTGAAGAAAGGAAAAAAATAATCGCTGTTATTTTCAGTCGCCCGATTTAAATCCCCTCGCTACCCACACAAACGTGCGTGTGTGTGTGTGTGTGTTCGCCTGACGTCACAATGAAACGTGACGGAAGATCAATGAGATTTCAGATCTCCAATAAGTCCAGATGCATCGAGAACAGAGCGCAATGGCGACTGGCGCTTCCTTTTTCACACGTCATAAGTGGGTAGTTGAAAACCTGTAATAAATATTATACGATATAAGTATATGTGATCTTTTTAGTGTACTCTAAATATTTCCCCTGTATTACTTGCTCTTGTAAATAAAACTGTAGTTATCGATTACTCTTGTCTTGAAAGTGTAAAAACAAGAGGGTATGCAAAGGCAGGGACGAGGCAAGTTGTAAATTATTTACGAAGAGAGTACTCCCCGTGAGATTGATCACAAAGCCTGTCGCGTGGCTTCAGTACATCCCCAGATCTAAATTTCCAGTAGTAATAATGTGACATTCGTTATTTACTAACGTGCTTTGGGTTGTTTTAGTTACGCTGTCTGTACTATCTTGAATTTGTTTTTCATATATAGCTTACATATATCCATTACTACATTGTGTTTTAGAAGTAAAATGTGGAGAGATGTTAGGATGCCAGATGTCTATGAATTTTAGGAAAAACTGAAGTAATTTAGATGTTTACGTCAAAATTGCGAAGCCTAATGCTTAACTCATAAATGTATATAAAAAGTCCTTATCGTGTTTATTTGCATGTAAATATTATTTTTTGTGTTAATTATGTTGCCTACAATTATTATTTTTTATTTAATGAAATAGTTTGAGAGACTTTTCTTTTTGGCATAACAGCTGAATTTAACCTTACTCACAAAACCTAGTCACTGGACTAGTGGTCATATTAAAGATGTAAGGCTGAAAATGCTTCAGCTAGTTAAATATAATGTTAAAAAAAACAAATGCAAAAATAAATGTATGAACTGTATATTAAAATGAAGTACTGTTCTCATGAAGGCTGTGTAACGGATGTGCTGCGGGCCACTCCGAACCTTTAACCTTTAAACAGTTCCAGTTAAAAATACAAATGCAAATAAGTTGACTGAAAATGTTCATAATTAATTTGTGATTTGCAGGGCGTCGCTGCCCTTGCATTTCCTCCCATCCTTTCTTCCCACTACCCTTGACTGGATCTGACACTCCTTGCATGCATTCACATGAATTCTTTCACTTGAATACAGATAGCATAAATGAAGCACTACAGACAAGGAAGGGCGTTTTTTTTTAACCCTGAGTGCCACCAGCATTTACAAGAAGACAGCGAGGCAGTGGAAGGGGAAGGGGATGTTTTAGGGTTATGGATGGGGGAGGGGAGAGCGGGGGGGGGGGGGGGGAACTCAAGCCTTTCTTATTGGCTGATTTAAACAGATGGGGGAGGGGCACCTTTTAGATTTTCACACCGGCCGTAGTGTGGTTGAGGGAGTATGGAAGCAAAAATAGGTGTGGATATACAGACGTGAGATTAATTAAAGATGGAGGGAAATATTGTGCTCGGTGTGTAAAACAGGCAGGAAGGGAAAGTTCCCGACGTCACAGCTCAGTTAAAGTGACGGACCTGACTGTTATAGCGTCGTCATGACGGAGCCTCTTTAAATTACCCTCTGTGCGGCCACATATTGTATGAAAATGTCAATTGGTTTTAAACCTGTTTTTTATGCCAATGACCAACCCATTAAGGTAAATGGCGTTTAGTGTTTAAGTATGAAATGAATCCCTTCATTTATGTATGTATGACTGCAGTGAATTATTGTTACGGATACGTGGGCATCTTAAGATGTAGCAATGATGTAGGAATTAATAAGTCACTGAGCTCCTGTATGGGACCTTTATCTTAATAAGAGGTACCTCTTGAAAGCACATTTTGTGTTACATGTGGAAATAAATACGAATTCTGTTGTGTATTTTGATAGTTGCACGTTTTGATCTACAACTTTCTCACAGTTTTCAACACAGCCGAATAAGAGCGATTTAACATCTATTGTTAAATACACCAGTGCTGCCCACGTCATTACAAAATCAGGAGTGACTAATACTGCCTTTAAGGACCAACTGTCTAATGCATCGTGTTGTAACTCATGGGAAGTCATTAACTGAGCTGTGCTTAGGTACAATTTTACAGAGATTCATCTACAACCTACCTTAGGCCCTAAGAAGGGAACATGATCAGAGATGCGGATTTTGGCATTTTTGGAGGAAAGGGACACGTTCTTACCAATACCGTGTACGTGTACTGTGTGTGTTTATGGGGTGAGGAGGTTCAGGACTGGTTTGGTCCCCGTCACTGCTGAAACCAAACCTCAGCTATAGGACCTGATTAATCTCCCTAGTTTACGCCCAGTGCTCCCGATACAGACGTGCAACTTCAGTGTCAGACTTTTTTTTCAGTTTCCCATATTTGCACTTCGACTTTTCTGTGTCCCTACACACTATAGTTTTTGTAGGGAGTGAAATATCTTTTGCATAAGTGGCACGAGTCCACTCGAGAATCACCCCAAAGAGTGATGTTAAATGACTCATGATGGTCTGAAATTGCTCTCACCTAAGGCGGAGATGAAACCTTTTAATGTGTCCATTACTGCGAAGCAAACGTCGCGACTATTGAACGGACTGATATAAGGGTTAATTTAAAGGTAATGATGCCGGGAGTCTTTCTGTAATAACAAAATAGCTTGGAATATAATGGACAGTTGTTCCAGTTTGAGCACATTAAGACTGATTATGACGCTTTTGATTTCGTTTCACTTACACGCTTTAACCCGTTTCTTTTCATGCACATTTAGTGGAAATGAAACTGCAATTGCGAACATAAAATTAAGTTTTACAGCTCAGCCACGGCAAAGTCGAGGGTGGGGGAAACGCTGGCGGCTGGAAATTTTCCTTTAGCCAGACATTCGTGACTGGATCATTCACAGTGGGCTCGGCGTTTCTCTTGGCGGCGCCCGAGTGTGTTTTTCTGCGTTTTCTTATAGTGTGCGTTTGTGCGCGTGGGCTTGCTAACGCCGCGTGGGAGTGCGGCTTCTCATGACGCCGCCGGGTGTTTATGAGCACCGCACCGCAATTTTGATGAATGTGGGTTTTTATTCCCCTCCCTCTCCATCCCTTTTCTGCGCGTTTTTGCCCACGGAAGTCTGCGGGTGCACGTGTGAGGGGAAAAAGGGACTGGACAGAAAAGTAGTGATCGAAAGAATGAGATCGCGGATACAAGCGGCTGAAATGAGTTTCCTCCGCAGGGTGTCTGGGCTCAGCCTTAGAGAGAGGGTTAGGAGCTCGGACATTCGGGAGCAGCTCAAAGAAGAGCCGCTGCTCCTCTGCATGGAAAGGAGCCAGTTGAATGGTTCAGGCATATAGATGCCTGGATGGGTTCCTGGGGAGGTGTTTCGGGCATGTCCAACCAGGAGGAGACCCCAGGGCAGACCCAGGACACACTGGAGGGACTGTATCGCTCAGCTGGCCTAGGAACGCCTTGGTATCCCCCCCTGTGGAGCTGGAGGAGGTGGCTGGTGAGAAGGAGGTCTGGGCATCCCTGCTTAGACTGCTGCCCCTGGGACCCGACCCTGGACACGTGGTCTATGATGGATATATGGATGGAAAAGTGGACAGTACAACCCGCAAGGTACAATGGTCAATTAGCTTGGACCAATCAGCAGTGAGTAAAAAGTCACTGAAAAGTGTTGACGGGAGCCCGCAGTCCAAGGCCCTGCTAGCTATGAGGTCACCGAGGTGCGGAAAGCTGGCTGCAGCCCTGCCCAGTGCTCAGGTCACTCTGACGCTCTACCAATGACAGCAGGCTGACTATCTGCATCCCCTCCTGCTAGAGATACTGCACTGCTCTTCACCACTAAGCTTTGCAGAGGCTTGTGCAGCCACTCCAGGTTATTGCTGGAGGTGACCTTGAAAGCTGCGAGACCAGCTTCTTCTGGAAGGGGAGACCCACTGGGCTACGGAAGTGCGCTTGTCGTTAAAAGGTTGTTGGTTCAAATCCCTGTCCAACAAAGCACCAGTGAGGTACCTTGAGCAAGGTACTACCCACAAGCACTGCTCCCTGGGGGCTGAATTAGCTGCCCCTGTTATGTCAGGATGTTACATACAGGTTAAATGCAGAAGACACATTTTGTTGTTGTGCTATGGTGTGTCGACAATGACAACTAATCACTTTCACTACCGACCATAACCCACAGTGTACCACTCCACTCTCACTTATCGCTGTGTATTATGAGGCTGCATTTGCAATATTTATTTATCCATAACTTTTATATAATATTGTCATTTTGTCAAACTGCATTTCCATACGGAGCCTCCTCCCTAAGAACCTCACTCTCCTTTCATACTCGTGTGAAGTGTGACGGTGTGACAGTAAGTGGGCTGATCTGACTGAGGCTGGAGGTCCAGATGGTGGCTCTTGATGCAGAGCAGCTCTGTGGCATTAGCCAGTCCTGTGCCCCCCCCCCCCCCCCCCCCACCCCATTGCAGCCTTCCTCATAGCCGTAACCAGCCGTGACCCCCGTTTCCATTACAATGCTCCCTGCCTCATATTTCTGCATCCTGTTACTCTAAGGCAGTTAACCAGGGCTATTCTGCACTGACTATGATGTCATCCTCCGTGGTTGGGTCCATCTGCCTCTGAGGTCACAAATCAATGGGAGCTCCCAAACTTTTGGTCAAAACCCAAAACTCGAGTCTTTGCTGGCTCCTGGCCTTCTAAACCAGCACCTGCATCCAAGCATTTCCCAGCATCCTGCTAACATGGGAAGGGTCACATGAGCGTGGCAGCCAGTCATTACCTCCCACCACATGCCTCCATTACATCAACTCTATGATTCCTACTTTTATAGACATTCTTTTTATTTTTTTCATTGTTACTGTCAGATTGGAAATTGGGCTTTCTGCACTCAAACAAGCAACTTTTTGCTTAAATTGATTCAATATTTTAAATTTAATTTAAAACACAGCTCAGTAATTATAAGGTATTTCTCCAGGAAAAAAAAAAGTTTTCAGCCGTGTTGTGAAATATTGTTGCAGAATAGCCTTAAATCCTTTTCAGGGTCGTTGTCTTCTGAAAGCTCAGTTTTGTTTTTAGCAGCACTTTCAAAACAAGCAATTCCATTCAGAACATTTGCATAACAAAAATAAAGCAAATAGGGTCGTATATATGCTTTGGATCGACATTGTCATTTTCATAGTTTTTAGCAGATGCCAAGCAGATTTGTTTTTTTGACCCGCATCTTCTTATTGTTGGCAGTGGGGAACCCCAGAAAATTCACGACATGCGTTCTAAGCGCAGATATCTCGGCACGCGGAGGACTGTTTCTGGTTTGCAGCGCGTGGCAAGTTTAGCTTGGATCCGTTTGGATGGTCGCTGGTTTGGTGCCAGACCTACAGCGGAGACGGAGCCCCGGATTCCGACGTCGGAGGCACGGCTGTGTCATCCAAGTCCGTAATTAAGCGGGTGTTAATTATGATGGCGCTCCCCGGTTACTTTGGGGGGAGGGGTAGGTTCAGCGGGATGTCAGGGCACCGTATCCTCCACACACTGCACAAAAATCCTAAACCATAAAACAACACGAACAACTATTTGTCAATATATCACAGTTTTACCATTAATAGTATCAATTCAAACTTAGCAACGTCACCAAGAAAGTGTGTTTATATCTCTAGTACAAAACACGTTACTCTGTAATAAAATTTGACCAATTGTTTTTTACGCAACATGACCAATACATAGTCTGAACCAATCACGAAACATGACATTGAGTACTTTTTTATCTCTTAAGCAGAACGGGTATTTTTTTCTGGAAGATTTTAGTCAATCCTAGCAGGAAACGGTAAACTCGTATGAAATTTTATCTGCAGGATAACAGTATATGCTTTTATCTTGCAACAATACAGTTATAATTCAGTTAATGTATTGTAAATCAGCAGAAGGAATAACAAGGGTTCAAATGTTACGCTGATTCCTGGTAGACTGTTGTGCTTTGAGTTATATCTGTGTGAATTCTGCCGCCCCAGTAGGAATCGAATCAAATATCCTACGGAAATCGCACGCTGTGTGAAAATTTGATCAGCTTGATATCACGTTTATATGCTAATGCATGTTTTTATCACAGAGTTATTTACGTCGGATCAACAAACGCTGCGACAACACGCGAAAACTTGCGAAAATAGAAAAAGGGCCTCAATTTCAGTCCGATGGAGACAATCATGTTGTCTGAGCCTAGAATTCACAGCCGCCGCCCCCCCACACACACGCACATTGTTGTCTATATTGCATTATTCGCATTATTGTCTATATCTTTTCACAAATAGGACTGCATGACACTAAACGGGGTCGCACAAAGTCGATGTTGTATAGAAAGAGCCCAGTGACATTCTGCCCTAGAAGATTGTCTCGAAAATATGAAACTTCTACAATATAAATTGAATACCGTAAGGGCAGAGGTTATCTGTCTAAAGGTTTATACTGAAATATGCTGTAGCCTAAGTTTAAAGTTACAACTGTCATTTCACTTCAACCGCAAAATATACTGTAAGGCTGGGGGGAGCCTACCCATCGGGCAGCGCGGCATGCTGGAGCGGTGCCAGCTATGTAAATAATGTGAAATGTTGTGCATAGTTAGTGTCTATTGTCTTGTGATTGTGTTGTATTGTAGCGTCATGTATAGTGTTTAATGTCGTGTTGTATTCGCGTGTGCGTGCGCCCACCGTATGTTGGGACAGTCAGCGCGGTGGGCAAAATATGTCGGTGGGGGAAGGGGGTTTATTTGCCGCTGCATGTGTATGTGTGCGGTGTTATTTAAAGAGTTGTTAGTAGAAGTGTGTTTTTGATATAAGCTGCTACTGTGATACCGTTGTTTACTTAAAAAGTTCAAACTTATGCGGGACAGTAGTGCTGTTGCTGAGACAAATTCTGCATAAAATGTAAAATTTGGTGGAATTTCATACGCGAAACGGCGCGGCGTCCCTCGAACGGCACAGCGCTGCGGACGCCCCAGGAGCAGTATTTGGTGTGAAGTGAAGGCGAAGAGACGGCGGCTTTGCACTGGGGGAGGGGGGGGGGGGGTAGACTCGGCTCCCACACCTGAAGCTGCTCCGGTGGGAAGACAAAAGCTGTCTGAGAAGAGGACAGGGGGAGGGAGCGGAGTGCAAACGGATTGGGGGGGGACGGCTCGCTGCAAATTATTCTGATTAGTCACAGGCTCCCCGGAGACGGTGCCTTAATTGTTCTTTTTGTTCCTGGTTTCCATCTTTCTCCGCCACCCAAACACCGCACTTTTCTGACAGTTCCTGTACCGCTGTAGCCTCCTTTTGTCACTCGCGTCCATTTCCTGGCTCTTAAATCTGCTTTATTATTATTATTATTATTATTAGTAGTAGTAGTAGTAGTAGTAGTAGGAGGAGTAGTAGTAGTATTAGTATTAGTATTATTTGCCTCTCTAATTCCCTGATGCTGGAGTACCTAGAAGGTGACCTTCTCCGCCCCCGCCAGCCCCCCCTCGCGGTCTCTGTCACCTGCTGACTGAGTCCCCCGGTCACCTTCCCTATGCACACAGCGCGCGCCTTCTGCACATCTGCTTCTGGCGCATGAAGTCACGCCGAGACCCTAAACGTTTATTTTTACGATTGCCATTAAACTGCATTGCTCTCGTAAAATTTTATTCGCTATTAAGGAGGAATCGGCTGAGGCTGAGACGCGTTGAGTTTCGAAGCCTCCTGCCTCGCCCACTAAACACAATTCCTGGTTGGCAAACTATAACCACAGGTGGAAGCGCAGCGTGATGCCGCCGTCCAGCATCACTTCGGGATCATGTGACAGGAGGAGACAGAATACCTAGCAATAGGCACGTATACACAGGCGAATGTAGGCCTACTTTTATTCAGTAGGCGAGTTAATTTATATTAAAATAATTGCGCCCATTGCCGAAGAAGAGGCTATATAACCAAGTGTTTCTTCTTTGTAGTCGACGGCTAAAAACTGAGACAACAGGAGAGAATGCAAATGAAGCTCGGTTGTTATTTTTTGCATTTAATCGAATTTCAATCCCTTTTGAAGTGCAGCGCTTTTCAACTATTAAAAGAAAAAAAACGGGACGCGACGCATGAGATCTCCGCGCGTTTCTCACATACACGCGTCTCATCGTCGGCAGGCTTTTCATGGCGCTGCTCGGGGTTTAATCTTCAGACCGGCGGTAATTTATGCGGGAGGGTGAGTCTGGGCGGCGGGGAGCATCGTCACAAGCCTGGGCCCTCAGACTCAGTGGGGCTCTGAAATACAGATTTATGTGTCTTTTGATGTGTAATTTGTGGAGCGGAGGAATTCGGGAGCTCGCCAGTTAATGAAATGAGATAAATAAAAATGTTATTTGTAAACATAATAATAATAATAATAATAATAATAATACCGAGTGGGTAAAAATAAAAGAAAAAAATAATAGCATTAAATGTTTAAAACGTGCATTTCTTTGTGTGTGGAGAAGCTTCGGAAGATGTAAAGCTCAGTGCGCTACATCTATGAAGAAAGAACAACCTGCATGAGGTGTCACGTGGACAGAGTGTCTCGCTTTATACTCTTTAAATCTACATCAGCAGCACCAAGACACGTGCACTTGTTTATGCGAGACCCGTAAGCTGAGCGTTTATTTATGAATATTTATCTTTAATGTTATGCTTTAGCAACAAGGGCCCTGGCAATAATTGTGCCAATGAAGTCCAATTTTGAATTTAAAATTGAAATGTACTTTGGAATACCTGTTCTAGGTGCTCTCGTCGCCCGCTGTGCGTATCCGATCCAGCTGTAAAAAAAATTCTCATTCAGCTGGAGAAACGCTGAATAGCAAAGCAAGTTCGATCCATTCGTCTAGCTGCTTTCCACTCACAGTAGTCAGGATCGCGTGGGGGGGTCTGGAGATAACAGGGAAAATTCAAATTTAAAATTAATTTTATATCGTAACTATATAATCAATGTCACCGTGAACTTGTACTAGATAAGTGGTTATGGGTGATGGCTGGTTATGTAATCTCCTCGTGCTAATAATAACAATAAAGCTCTCTGTACTATTAATATAGAATAGAACATGTATCAGCAGTAGGCCTACATGCGCAAACTCAAATGCCATCACTATTGTCTGCCTGGTACATTCCCACAATATAACTCTTCTCGTTATCTCAGCTGTGAATGCATTGCTGATCAAGATCTCTTGAATTTACTCATTAAAATACTTCCAGGCAGGCTGGTCACTCTGCTGAGGTCGGCGGGACGCCCGTAGCACCTTCGAGCCGCGGGAGAGAGGGGGTCGGGGTCTTTGTCCGCTGGGGTCTCCCATCTCCCATCAGTCTTAGCTTCTGCATGGTGGGCGGGCCTTCCAGCAGTTGTGAACCACACGTCCTACCGGTTAAAATTTCCCTCAGGTCCTGAAATACGAAGTTTAGCATTTTTGCATGACTAAAATGGTGTGTTTACCTTCAAACTGGGGTGATGGTGTGTGACTTCTGTCATCAGAAGGTCGCCAGTTCAAATCCCATCCTTGATAGAATAGTCACATGTCCATTGGGCTCTTCAGCAAGGCCCCTAACCCCCCAAAATGCTGCAGGTTGCCGGATAAATGGCCTGACCCTCTACTCAGACCCCAGCTTCACTCTCACCTCTGTGTGTGTGTGTGTATGTTTCAAACGAGAGCAAAATAGGATATGCGAAAACATTATTTCACTTAATTTACTTAATTTTAAAGCTTCCTGTGATTCAGCACTTGACTGAAGTTTTTAAGAACCTGCTGACTGCTAAACATGATTCAACCCAGGTTTGGGTTAATGGTTCATTTTGCCAGACGTTTCCATATCTGCAGCGTTCGGCTGTCAAATCATTCAGCAAAATGGCATCTTGTCAATAAAAGACGCTAAATCTGAAACCCGCCTGACATTTTCGGGAGCAGCAAAGGCAGGGCACCATTTCATCTTCTGAACACTGAAAAAAAGCTGAAATATGTGGTCGCCTGAAATGAAAGATTTTCCCCTGCTCTTCTTGTTTTTTTTTTTCATCTTATGCTTCGTACCACATCCTGGCTTCACTTCGACAGCGCTTACAGCAGGTACACTGATGTGGAATGCGTCCCTGATTGTCTTTGAAACACGCAGCAGCGTTTAATCTGGGCGAGAACGGGACCTGACTTCGGCTGTGGTCATGGTGGGATACTGTCCGATTTGTGGAAAGCCCGTCTACTTCGGTGAGTTTACAGTGCATATACACTTCATGTCTGTTACATTGACGCACAGCTAAAAGCAGAATAGCTTTCGTTTCTGCTTCCCAGACATCCGGCCTTTCACGCCGCGATTCTGCTCTGATTATAAGGCTCTTGTTTCTTTTGTTTAGTTAAAGTTGATGTGATATTTCAGATTATTAAATCTGTTTAGATTTTTGAAGCTTCTCAGAACAGAAAATGTATGAAAGAAAGAGCAAAGGCTAACAGGAAATGTAGCAAAAACAAGCATCTTATAAAATAACTAAAGAAGTATAAAAGGCCAGAGACTCCGGACCCCCTGCAAGCCGGAATAGGACCAGCGGTTACAGAAGATGGATGGATGGGTGGGTGGGTGGATGGATGGATGGATGGATGATATAAAAAGGCCAAAATATTATCATTCAGGAATTAAAGTAAACTACCAGGATTTCCTTCACTGACCACTGACCACTGTGTTTTCAAACAGTTGTGTTGTGTGACATCTTGGGTATCACCTGAAGGTTTTAACCTTGGATAAACTGTATTTGTTAAATATAAAACAGTAAACAAGGCAGTAGCTTTAGGTTAGCAGCTGTTCAATTTTAGGTCATGCTGCTCTTTTTCATTAAATTACTAGTATGTGCTCGAGGAACTTTTCAGGTTTTAGCATAATTAGTTATTAAGGTTGCTAAGAAATAGAAAAATATAGTTGGCTTCAGTTACATGCATTGCTGTGAGGGTTTGTGTGTACGGAGCACTGCTGAGGATCAGAGAAACCCATTTGTTGTGACTGATGAGGAGTTTGACACACTAGAATGTTCCATGAGGAATGGTGGGGGGTTCACTTCTGTCTTGGGGTCCCGGAATGCTGTGTAGCATTTTCCGCAATCCTGCGAGAGGGCAGAGAGAGACACGTCAGGCTGCTTTTGACCGTTGATGAAATCTTGAAGGACGTACAGCAAAACAGGAAGTGGGTTAATTCAAATGGAGCAACCCGTGTTGCTTAGGCAGGAAGGGGCGGGGATAAGGCGGGATGCATGAACCACAGCACCACAATGCTGCCATGCTAGGCTAGACTGTGGTAGAAAAAAATTAACACAATACTGTGAAATAAATGGTAAACTTCATAAGAAGAAAATTGCTCTGTTTAAGAAAACAGAGTAAGATCGACTAAACAAAGTGATTGATTTGAGAAGAATCAATATTCTGTCCTCTTTTTATTGTTATTTAGATCCACATAGCTCTAATTTTACATACATCTTGCTATGTATTTCTACAACAAAATGTTGACAAGTTTATTTATAAATCACAGTGCAAAAGGCCTTGAATTCATGTGATGATGTCATAATGAGGCAAGCCCTCCATTGGCAGGTGAGAAGAAGCGTTCCTTGGGCCGGGATTACCACCCACTCTGCCTGAAATGTCAGGAGTGCAAACGGCAGCTCAACCCAGGCCAGCACGCAGAGGTACGGAGGCACAGGGCGACGCAGGACCCCGAGCTCCCACTGGGTGGCGCTGTCTTTGCCCAGCATTTCAGTGTTTACTCCTTGTGCATCTGCTTTTGTTGTAACCCTCCGTGTTGGTGATCAGAAGATACACTGTCATTGCGGTTTAAATTAAAAAAAATTCAGAAACAGATCTGGAGCATATCTGGGTGGAGGCTGATGTCCCCCACCCCGAATGCCCACCACCACTGCTCAGACACACAGTCACCCACTTAAGTGTCCCTCAAAAGCCACTGACGCTCACCTGCCGTTTCCTGTCCTTTCCAGCACGACGAGAAACCGTACTGCACCTACTGCTACATGAAGCAGTTTGGGCCCAGAGGTGAGCCGGGGGGGGGGGGGTAGCACCACACACAGCATAGATAGGGCAGGGACCCACCGAGAGAGGAGGCAGGTCAGGGGGGGCAAGGATAGCCAGGGAAGAGCGAGCCTAACTGTTACCATGGACACAGCACCCCCCCCCCCACACACACACACACACTTTCTCAGGATCTCACAGATCTTCATAGTATTGATCTGCTCCAACACCAGGCTGTTGTTGTAGACATCTAAATCACACTGCATCTCACTGTCTCTTCCTGCTCAGTGACCATGATCTACTGCAAAAATCCACAGCTGTGTTCCTTCTTCATGGTTTCCACCAAATATCCATCCAAACATCAACCCTTAAAGCTGAGCTGAACTATACATGCAGTAAAATACCTTATCTGCTGTTTCAGGTATTGGGCAGATTATTTTTTTAATTTTTTAGTTCAGATCTGGCAACCTCTGCTTTACAGAAAGCCAGTGGCCTGGTTGCTCGTTCTGAACGGTCCGTCAGTCTCAAACTCAAGACCTTATGTCGTGCTTCTCTGCCTTCCAGGCGGCAGGAGACCCATGTCACACTTGTGCAACTCCACCGGGTCATAGGAGAGGAAACCGTGTCTCCAGCTCGTCAAGTGAGGACCTTCCTAGGGCCAGACGTGCTGCCAGCACTCACCAGCAGGGGGCTCTGACTCCAGCGGAGTAAAGTGAAGTGCCGGGAAAAGGGGATGCTTAAGGCTCCATATTGTGATAGCAGTGTCCAGGATGGAACATCGGAAATGAAGGCCTCCAGGTCCGGATCATTCCGGAAATGCCTTCACTCATTAAATATCCAAACATGACACCTTTAAAGGTGGGAATTCACATTCCAATTGGCTACTTGGTTATTACAAGCATATTTTCTACAGTCATTTTAAAATTACTGTAAATACAGCATAAATATTTTTATCTATAGAAGTCAGTTGGTACTGAAATTTAAATGTTTTTAACAGTTAAACAGTTTTGACAATATTTATTTGATGTGCTTTTTTGATGTGCTTTTCTATTGCATCATATAGATTTCACGCAATATAATGCTCATATCTGTATAGCATCACATAATATTAATGTGTTATCATCGCATAAACTTTTCAAAAATGTGTAAATTACATAGTGACAATTTACAATAAAGCTTTGCCTTTTTCAATATTCAATGTGATTCTCCAAAATCATTTACTCAAAAGCCTCTTTCTCTGCAAATGAATGAAAACAAAAAGGGCACTAATTAAAATTTATCTGATTTTATATTTTTAAAATGTTCATTTTAATTTCATAGAAAGAGCACATTCCTTCTATGGTTTATTTTTAGACTTTGTCCTAATCTACTGCTATCATTCATTTTGAACATCATAAAAGCCAGTAATAACAATTATTAAAACAGAGCTATAAGTAATTTGCTATAATTGCTATTTCCTTGGGTTTAATGTAGACGTGCGTCTGGGCTTGTGTATGTGTGTGTGTGTGTGTGTGTGTGTGAGTGGGTTTACCTATCCTTATGGGACATAATGTCCCCATAACGTGATAAATATCCGTTTTTTTTCCCTTATGGGGACCGGTTTCCTGGTCCCCATAAGGGAAAACTTTATTTTATAAAAATCGGTGACTGCCATGAAAAAACTAAAAATGCAAAAACTCTTGTATTTTGTTAGGTTACTTATGGTTATGGTTAGGACAGGGTGGGGGTTAAGGTTGTCATAGTTAGCGTTATCATTTTTCCCATTGAAATGAATGAGCGGTCCCCATAAGGATATGTTTACCCTACATGTGTGTGTGTGTGTGTGTGTGTGTGTGTGTGGCTGCCTCACACACCAGGTACCTCCAGACAGGCTCCAGGCTCCACTATAATGGAATAAAATCACATTACGATATTTGACATTTTTTCATGTTAAATATTGCGATATATTGTAAAACAAAAAAAGACCTGAAATAAAGTACAGCCAAGTAAAACTGATTGGCTGTTTCTCGGTATGCCTGTTTGACCGTACTTGTGTTCTCACATACACATTTTATATCCAAAGTTCGTTCTTGGAGGCAAGTTAGCAAGACCGGTCTTACAAAGACCACAAGTGTGATCTTTGCATTCTTGGTGAAACTTATTGACGGTCTCAACCATGGGCATAACTTTGGGTCGAACAGGACTGATAACTGGTTAACAGATAGGAAGCAGCGAGTAGTTATAAGAGGCACAATGTCACAGTGGGCCTGCGTTCATAGTGGGGTACCGCAGGGTTCAATTTTAGGACCACTATTGTTCCTAATTTACATAAATGATATAGACACCAATATATACAGTAAACTGGTGAAATTTGCAGATGACACCAAGGTGGGTGGTGTAGCAGATACTGAACTAGCGGCTCAGCAGCTACAGCGGGATCTTGATTTAATTAGTGACTGGGCTGACACCTGGCAGATGAAATTTAACATAGACAAATGTAAGGAACTCCATGTAGGGAGCAGAAATATAAAGTACAGGTATTTTATGGGACCTACTGAAATAAAGGTAGCTGATTATGAGAAAGACCTTGGTGTGTATGTTGATGCTTCCATGTCTCATTCTCGCCAGTGCGGGGAAGCAATAAAAAAGCCCAATAGTATGTTGGGGTATATTTCCAGGTGTGTGGAGTTTAAGTCAAGGGAGGTAATGCTAAGATTATACAATTCCTTGGTGAGACCTCACCTATAATATTGTGTGCAGGTTTGGTCACCATATCTTAAAAAGGACATTGCGGCCTTAGAAAAGGTGCAGCATAGGGCCACAAGAATGATTCCTGGTCTTAGAGGAATGTCATACGAGGAAAGGTTAGTTGAGCTAAATCTGTTCAGCCTCAAGCAAAGGAGACTGAGGGGGGACATAATCCAGGTCTATAAGATTCTAACAGGTTTGGATGCTGTTCAACCGAATAGTTACTTCAGCATTAGTTCAAATACAAGAACTCGTGGCCATAGGTGGAAATTAGCGGGAGAACATTTCAAACTGGATTTAAGGAAGCACTTCTTTACACAGCGTGTAGTCAGAGTATGGAATAGTCTTCCTGATAACGTCGTGCAAGCTGAATCCTTGGGTTCCTTTAAATCAGAGCTAGATAAGATTTTAACAACTCTGAGCTATTAGTTAAGTTCTCCCCAAGCGAGCTTGATGGGCCGAATGGCCTTAGTTCTTATGTTCTTAATTACATTGTAGTTAAAACACGGGTGATAAAATGTCAACCACAGGTGTTCATTTGGTTTCCACACTGCATAACAACACTTGTCTGTAAGGGATCATGTTTGAACACAAGGATGGTACTCTAACCCAGGGCCCACCAGAGACAGGTAACATTGACCTTTTTTTTGGGGGGGGGGGGGGCGTCCTTCAGCCTGAATATAATATGAAATCTTCAATGAAGATATGGGCTGAATTGAGTAGGGCAAAGACGGGGTGGGGGTCTAGAATCTGAGACGGGGGTTTCATAAATCCTGTCTTTGATCAGGGGTTTCTGATCTCGGTGCCTACAGCCGAACACGTGCACAACGCAAACAACCGCACTGCACACATTAGCATGATAAAACGCTCAGCACTGGAGCAAGTGAAGTGGCCACGGGTGGAGAGAGGGTGGGGCGCCATCTCTCTGCCGGCTCTGGCAGCCACATGGTAACCATATATGGAATAGTTACCCCCCCCCCCCATTGTGGATCCTGAGAGAGTGGACTGCTAGTTTCTTAATTCAGCCCTTCTGTTTTGTGACACATCATTAAAGCGTTCGTTTGCGAAAATAGTCGGTCGGGAAGGGAGGGGTTAAATTAAAGAATAGGTGTCATTCTGCTTTGCCCTCGCCAGCGCCCACGTGTTTATCCTCCGGATAAACCACCGACCCCACGACTCTCACTGCCCGTGCCCGTCAAACACACGTCAGCACACTAATTAATGCATAATGAGCTTTAATATAATTCCCCGCATGTTACCCGCCCCGTCTTAACCTTTTATACCCAAAGAGATACCATCATCACCCTGGGTAAAAAACACACTTCGTATTTAAAAAATAATCTGTCACATCAGCCAATGAAGATCTAGCCAACTAGAAGCGACTTTTCAATTAGACTTATACTTAATGTTTTTTTTTTAGATATGAACTTATTTTCTGAAATTACTTACGCTGCTCCTCTAACCATCTTTCAATGGACGACGCCTTGATAACACGGGGTTTGAGGCTGTAACAGTGTTAAACACTCGGGGCTTGGTTGTCAGATGTTAATTTGCATTTATTTTAATTTCCGTATGGGACTGTGGGTATTATTCGCGTTAATCGGGTCGATCGCGCGCACATGGAAAACATTAACACTTGAGGCACCTCTCGGGGATGAGCGGGGGAGCAGCCGACCATCTTCCAAGCAGATGTGGCGGCGGATGCCTTGTCCACCGCCATGAGTGAATTTTCTTCCTGTTCGAGATGAAAGGGGGGGGGGGTAGTGAAGTGCAGAACAGTGATTTAGTCGTTTAAATTTACGACAGCTGAGAATGCATGGACTTACCGGCCTGGTGGGGGGGGTAGATCCATACCGCGTGTACCCAGCTAGCAGATGGTAGCATACTGAAAGCAAATAACAAAATCATTCTAACCGGAAGGATCTCTGTTATTTATTTATTTGTGTCTTTTATAAACTTTTTTCTTTAACTTTTATATTTAAATTTGGGGGGGGGGACAACTGCACTTTGTGTGGCTATGTACAAGGTCTCCCCGACTTTATCTGTAGCTGTCACTCAGAAGAGTGACTGTATATATTATATTTCTATTGGCCAAAAATGAGTACAGACTGATATTTTTATAAGATTCGCTGCATCCGCTTCCTTGTATGCGTCGTAACGTTTTCCCTACGGCATTTTCAGCGTTGATTTAATTTGTCCAGCAGATGGAGCCAAAGTTCGGTTATCTCGTTACCAATGTACCGTGGATCCAGATGTTGTCGCATTACATCTGGATGGGAGATGTAAAGAACTCCGTACGCCTCGGACTGATTGCATGCTACTCATGTGTATTTTCTTACGTTTTTAACTGAAAGTAACAATCAAATTATATTTTTAACCTTTTCGTGATGCAATGTTGCGTCATAATTTTACTTCTTTTATAATGAAAATTGTTGCAACCTAATTGTTTAATTGTCTGTACAACAAACAAAACACTTAAAGTATGTCTTTATTCAATGGAAGCTTTTGCTTTGTGGGTTAGGACTGTAGTCTAGCTGTGATTGGAAGGTCGCCGGTTTAAATCGCGTAGTCGGAAGAATGATTTCGTCGTTGGGCATTTGAACGAGGCCCTTAACCCCAACTGCTCCAGGGAACTGGCTGACTCTGCTTTCTCAATTGTACGTCACTTTGGATAAAGGCGCCTGCGAAGTAAATGTACAAAAAAAAAGATGTTTAAATTCCTAAATATCAACACTAGGTGTCAGCAGAGCATAATCAAAAGGAAGGAAAGCACCAGGCCCGTTTGGTGGGAATGATGACTGCAAATCCTAACTCCTTAGTTCTCTTACTTTGCAGAGAGTGTCTAGCGGGGATTTGTACTTTCCCTAATACCAGTATGACTATTTCTTGGAGAATGTAGCCAAGTGCTAGCGCGAAGGCTAATGCGCCGATAAGTATTTGTTATTATAAAAATTCCATTGCTGAATAAATAGTTATGTTTATGAAAATGCATTTGCCAGAATATGATTTAGTGTACAGTCATGATAAAATAATCTTGAAGGATGGGGGTACACTTTCTGGCTTGTGAGAAAAACAAACCCATAGCTATTAGAAGCTGCAGTATCGTTTGCGATATTAGTAACCACTAAAGAATAACGCTGAATGAAAAAATTAGCAAAACACAAAACCGTATAAGATTACAGTGAATTGTTTTATCAGACAATATAGGGCTGAATGTTTTAGGCCTATATTTAGGATTGTGTAAACTCTACTTTCGCGATGCAAAAAAAAAATTCAAGACAAAGTAGGAGTCAAAATCAGAAGGCAGCATTTCATCAATTATCAACAGTTATAGACTTAACTAAACATTAAACGTTAGTGTCAAGATTGGAGATCGATATGTATGTATCTAGGTTTTCTAGCTTCCTCGTCTTTAAAGTCGCACACAGCAGCCCAGACGGGCCCGACCGTGGACGCCGATCCTTGTCCCTTAAAGGGACGCCCAGTCACTGGATGCCGCCGGCTCGTGGGCTGAAGGCCGGTCTGTCTGCGTGAGTCTGACCGCTGACCCCCGGATCGCAGCATGGTCAAGCAACGAGCTGCTATTTGATCGCGGTTCCTGCGCGGACAGCATTTCTCAATCATTTATATCGAACCGTTTTATGCAATAAAATATTTCTTCTTTTAATGATTCCCATCCCTCTTCATTTAAACCCAGTTGTATTATTATCATTATCATCATTATTATTATTATTATTATTATTATTATTATTATTATTATTATTATTGAGCATCAATTTGCCTTCACGTGGGGTTTTTTTAAGAAACGGCATGGTAAAAAAAAAGCCGGGGTCGCACCTAAAAGATCCTAGAGAAATGCCACGATGAATCTTTATTCAGCAGAGTAAGAAGATGTGAAATGTTTGTTTGCTTTGCACGGCACAGTCTCGCTCTGTGTACAGCTTCACAGCCTTTCGCCGCAGTGCTGAGAGGGCTTCCCCAAGCAGCCGTGCATCAGTCCTTGCCACTCTCCTCTCGAGATTACACACGGTCTCGCTCCGAATTCAGCCTGGTACCTGGGAACGTCCCACTGCGAATCTGACACATGTATCTGCCGGTGTCCTGCTATTGTTCTCCTGTCGTGACACACGCGTCCCCGCGAGCGCTCCCGCGGCGAGCTATGGCAGGTCCGCTAAGGAGGCTTCCCCGAGGAGGCTCCCCGAGCACGCGGCTCCGCTCCGCCCGGAGAGGAGCTACTGGACTGTGGCCGAGGTCACTGGGACTGACACGGGGGGAAAAAAAGAAAAAGGAAAAACGCACCGGGTTTCCCTGACCCAACCGTGAGGCTACAAGTATTTTCTGCTCTCAGTTTTTGATGAGTTGAGTTGGTTTATATGTTAACAATGTCAGGAGACCCTAACCCATGCATGCCCTGTATAGTCCTGCTTTCTACCTAAAACGTCACTCTGATCTTCCGTTACAGTGATGTGATCAGCGTTAAGCACAATAGTGTGAAGTCAGATATCACAATTAATGAATAGCCTGTGTGCTAGATTATTCGTAATTATATTAATTAAGCTGGCGTTTTCCTCTTTGCACACTCAGACGCCAGGGTATAGTGTATGCTAGTTTGGTGATTATATCAACGTAAGGCCAGTCTCGATCTAGAACACCAATAATTTGGATGTAACGTATTTTATCACTTTTGCCAAATACTGTTTGTCCTAGCACACAGCACGCTTGTATTGTGTAGTTAAGTATGTATAAATATATTTACTGTAGATACTGCAGTCTCACTTTTTCTAGACCTATCTGTCAATCTATTTGAGAAAAATATATATTTGCCTATGTAGCCTTGATTTTTGACTGTATATCCGTATTTCTTATATCCATTTTTGTGGTAGGCTACTGTGTTTAGATGAATCTAGTCATTATTATTATAACGTATTCTGTATTGTAAATAATAAACTCGCGCGGTGTTATGAATATACATTTGGGAAGAGCGAGGCCGATGCGTGGGTGAGTTTGATCAAACGTCGGGACCGGAGTCTGGACGTCATGCAGTTAAGTGACGCCATTTGACGAGAAGAGCATCTGCTGGCTTAAATATGCTTTAACCAGCACCGGGCCGCTAGATCATGTCGCCTCCTCTCCGGACTTATCAGGTGAGGCGCTCATTTGCATGGCGCTGCCTCCGTCTGCTTGTTTTTAAGCGGGATTTATTAGGGTCGTTAACCGAAGTCACAGCTGCGCTTCCGGAGTTAAACTTTATGTCCGGGAAAACGAGGTTGATGTTGAATTACTACTTCATCTCTGTACCGTGTCATTCTGATCACCGAAAGCCGACCCCGCCCGTGAAGGACTTAACTCCCTCTGCGCCGGGCGGAAGGAGCTCCATTACTGTGCTCTACAAAATCATTACTGCAATAACAACCGATTAACTAACCGCTCTTCGTTTTAACAATAACGCTCGTTTACTTAGGTTACTATGTAGTTGAAATACTTCTACATATATTTAATTTTATTGTATTCCAAAAGACACAAATGGTGTGTATCTATTATTTATGCTTTTATTAAAATTGCCAAACAAGGTAGGCTGCAAGAAGAATGAGAAGAGCCGGTAATATTCAGGAGCTATTTATTTTTGTAAAGAAAAGACACAAAAGCGCCAACCCCCATTGCGCTGTGTTCTCCGTGCCGCCCTGCAGGGGGGAAGAAGGTTAATGCGCGGATAAGAAGATGAAGTATAGAAGGTGTCCCCCCCCCCGCCCCTCGCTGGTCCGGGAGTGATGAGTCCTGCTGGTCGGGGTGGACAGGGCAGCTCCAGCAGACTTTACCTGTCAGCGCCGCCCCCCCCCCGCTGTCCCGCAAAAATGCTGGGGGAGGGGGGGGCAAGCTAGTCACGTGAGCGGAGGCTATGCTTACGTAAGAATAAATGTTTCTAAAGTTGTCTTATGTTTTAACGGGAATTTGTGTTCCAGCTTCTTAAAATGCACGGTTTTATACACAGTTTAACAGGGCAGAGATTTGATATGTATCGAGTCAAAATTTCAAATTATCGCAGAAAATAGTTTTTCTGCGATATAATTTAATTTTATCTTGCAGTAGGCTACATTCACATAAAGTGGAAAAAATCGCAGAGGACCATCCACGCATGGACTCAAACCGGCAATCTGGTAACATGCAAAGTGTAGGTAGCCTATTTACTAACGCGCTGTTGCAGCAATAATTTTACTTTCGTTTTCTTTTCTTTACATTTTAACTTTAATTTTGGCCTAAATACAAATATATACGCACAACCCAACCCAAGTTCATCTGTATTTCGTGCTTTCTGAATGCAGAAAAAAACTTTTCAGAGTTTGGTCATATAACCTTTGAACCGGCGCTGTTCCCGGATATGAAAGCGGACCGTATTTGCGGCGTTACGGCCGCCTGCGTGCGTCTTGCTCTCAGTCTCATCTAGTTCGCTGCGGGCTGTGTGTAAATAAGATGGGTGACATTTCGGATGAATTGACATGCAGCGTTTGTCTGGACATCTACAAAGACCCTTATTTGCTACCTTGCGGGCACAGTTTTTGTCACAGCTGCATACAAGGTCTGAGCACGGCTTTGGAGCTGAAGTGCCCAGACTGTAGGAGGGAGTGCAGAAGTTGGGAGGATGTAGTCAGGAACTACAAACTGGCAAACATTGTGCAAGTGCTTATGGCAGAAAAGGTGAGTTATCGCAGGTATAATGCCTTTCGTACGTGTAATGCGGACTACCTGGATGTTCCGTCCCGGTTGCACCCTTGGCTGCCGGGATGGACTTCGGCTGTCCGCGACCCTGCACAGGGCAAGCTGTCACTGATGGGTGTACTGATCGTAAGTTCTTAAATTCACTCATCATTAGTTATTACTTTATTAAATACTACCCAGGCTTTAAATACTGGATTTCCCTCTACCCTGAAATGTACAGCTAGCTGCCTGCTGTATCCACCGAGCCACCCGATCCCCGCCTTTGTATACATGCAACTGTTTTGGGGTAAAGCCACGTGTGAGAAAGGCATTCTGTGTTGACTCCGGGTTTGGGTTGCCCAGCAATGATGCATAATAATAATATTTTTTTACAACAGAAAATTTGCCATCCAAGTCAAACTTTAACGGTTAATAGCAATATTTACGCTCCTTTTCTACAATAAAGTGCGTTTTACTGTGTAACCGAGACATTGTAGAGGTAGACCAGGGGTGAGGAACCTGATCTATGGAGGTCCGGTGCGGGCGCCGGTTTTTGGGATGACCTATCATTCAGCCAATAACCGCCGGTTCCCAGGACTGCAGTTGAGAACCACTGTTTTATTATTGGCTGACTGAGAGGTCATCCCACAAACCCGTGCTCACACCGGCCCTCCATGGATCAAGGTCCCCACCGCTGAGCGAGACTCTGCAGTGTGATGTTCTTTTAAAGTCGACCCTGCTCCAATTTCAGGGTTTATCATTCGCCTGTTATGCTGACACGTGCCACGGTTTAAGTCTGAAAACTGCACCTTAACTAATGCGGCTGTTTTCCTTAGAGCCCCGAAGCCGGCCCCCCTACAGATATTGACCAATGGAGGCTTTCCTACTGGCTCTTACTATTGGCTGTGGTGCTGCTGGTCACTGCCGCCTTCTGTAAGTGTTGTTGGTATGTCTGTACTGGTGCATAGGAGTACATCGGCATACGAGCATAAAGGTCACATTCACAGAGTACTCAACTGGTTGGTTGAAACAAAATCTTGGTCTGGATTTTTGCTTTCTGGACCTGAACTTTCCACCTCTGTCTGGTTCTCATAGTCCACAAACCAATTGTTAGGCTTACTGATGTCTCAGAATTGTATGCAAGCATGTGTGATTGTGTGGGTCACGTGATTGACTGGCATCCTGCTCAGCCTTTGCCCTCAGCTTCTGGGGATGGGCTCCAGTTTCACTCTGACTCTGTACTGGGTAAGCAGTTATGGATGGATGGATTATAAGGTCGATATCCTTGTAATAGTGGATTGACTGACCTCTAACGATGCCTGTTATTGTCTTACAGTAAAAAACAAACTGGAATCTACTGCCGAAGAACTGCTGGACTCTCAGATGCAGCTTAGAACCTTCCAGAAGGAGGGCGCTGTATGTTCACGACTAACAAATAACACTATCTTCACAATTTCTTTGCAAGATTACCTGCAAAATTCCTCTGAATTTGGAGGACTTGTATTGCAAATGAGAAACATTTCGTATTTCACCTGTAACCACTGACAGACTAGACGGGTGTCAGAATGTCAGACGTGTGTTTCTGGGACTTTGACTCCTTGGCTTATGGGCTTTATTTCAGGACAGCGTGGCGTCACCTGGGAGCATCACTGACTTTCTGATGTCCGCACTCTACTGGTGTGTCTGGATCGTCGTCAGTCCCTTATTGATTATCTGGACCATAGTGCAGTGGCTTGTGAATGCACTTATTTATCTTATTTACTTCTGCCTATGGCTTGTCTACTATTGCCTTTGGCTAATGGTCAGCACAAGCTTCGATTACTTATTTAAGTTATTTAACCTGGCTGTCTACACCTGCGGACTCAGCTATATTTTATTAAAGATGCTGCGTTTATTGCGGAAGCCACACACCGGCGGCTGATGCTGTGATTGGTGCTACTAACCAGTAATGTGATCAGTCTGGCCAATGGCAGGACTTGTTTTTGTTACATGAAATACTGCCTGTTATTTTTTAATTGGTCTCCATGGCGTTGCCCGACGCTGATTTGCTGTACGCCTGGGGATCATGTGGTGCGCTTTTCATAAATGTAATTTTGTATTCAAAATACAAATGTGCATTCACCTAACAAAAGCCTGGGCTTTTATATAGATGGAGGTTTTTGGTAGAAAATGACATTTTGAACACTATTTTTGTTACTGCTTAAGAGTTTAGCTGTTTTGCATCCAAGCTGCAAATCAGAAATGGCAATAAAGGTTTTTGCTAAGAGTTGTTGAATTTCTTTGTAAACATTTATTTAAACTGGTTGGAGTAAGTATGGGAAGACTTTCAGTCTTCAGCTGCTTAGCGGACAGAAGTACTGCCCATGAGAAGAAGTGAGGTTTAGCACCATCTTCGAAGAGCACGAGCGAGTCTGAAGTCTGAATTGCTGAAGCCAAATTTACGTGAGATTTTCACGTATCGTCTCTTATGCATGGAAAAGTAAGACCTACAGCTGGTGATTTACCTTGACGGCTCTGTTGCTTAGGGTGAATTATACGGCAGTACAAACATGTTTTTGAGAGTTTTATGACTAATGCAGCCTGAAATTGGTAGCTAGATTCTTTTAGATCAGGAGGGGTAAGCTGTGAATGTGGCAGTGATGAGAAATCAATGTTGTGGCTGAACTTTGGCACAAACGGGAGCTGAGCGTGGTAGGATTTGATTGCAGTCGTTGTGAGGTATGGGACCAGATGCAGAGCGATAGTGCTGTAGTGTGTGAAGTTTGGGGGTCCGTGTCAGTCCGGAAGGTTCCTGAAACATTCACTTGTTGCTGGGAGAACTTGCCTTGGTTTACGAGCAGGCCGTAAATGTGACAGGCCAGATGATTCGTTCAGGGTGGTTGACATGAAGTTACTGAGTAGGATATAGTGATCAGTGTGTTATTAAAGTATATTATCGTACATTAACATTAAACTACTAATGTGAATCATATGCTAACTGCATGATATGCATCTATTCAAGTCTGTATCACAGACACCGTTATGTTTTGGTTAGCTTTTGTTAGCTTTTATTTTCGCACCGCGTCCCTTCCCGCGCACGCCTCTACCTATTAGTTTCCAGCTAATGAATGGATGCGGATGTCCTCAGGTTTCCCGCCGTCATGGAAATCCGGCGAGAGTTATGTAAACACGACCTTTCTGGGCTCCGCGAGCATACATAAAATCGCGGAAAAGATGTAAGCATTAAAAAGTCATAGGAAATAGCTTGGTGCTAACGAGGTAAATTTTGCTGTAGCATTTGTCCGCTTTGACCTGCGCACCTGGGAAAAGGAGGCGGCCCCAGCGCCCGGCCTGGACGGCGGCTCTGGCGTTCTGCAGAAGCGCTCCCTGCCGCGCGCTGATATCTCCACTGTGTCATCCAGACATCCTGCCCCACCCTGGCTGGAAGACCGATGGTTTCTCCAGCCCGGAGGCCATTTGCCTTGGCGCTCCGCGTGCGGACCCCCCTAGCAGGGGAGCCCCCCTCACACCATCCGTTGGCTTTAATTGCATATTCGTCACGCTCCCGGGTCTTTAGGTCTAAAGAGGGTGCAGGAGGTGGGGCGGAGTTTGTGGTCTGTGTGCCGGGGACACCCAGGGCTGATGAAGGCCTATGCACTAGGAGTGTAATTTGAACCTGGGCGTCAGCATGAGAGTGAGGAGCCCTGAGCCAATGAGATGGTGCGAGGACTGATTATCTGAAGGGCTCGCCTGCAGCTCGCTGTGATGGAGACCTGGACAAGCTGGGTCACAGGCGGAGGAGGTGTGCACTCTGATCTGCTGTCACACGCCTTCACATCTGGAAGAAGACAGACCAAGGACAGAGCTCTGAACAGCGTCCTTCAACATCCTCCGGAACTTTCCTCAGAACTTCCCCCAGGATGTCCTTCTAAAGCTTCAGTCCAAGGAAGTCAGTCCTGCATGAAGTGAATAATTTATTCATCTAGAAAATGTATAGTTATATATAATGAGATGATTTCTGGTTACATAACCTTGAAATATTACAGGATCTCTTAATACACCAAGAAGTGCAGAAAGTATTGTTCTGTTTGCTTCTGCTGGGACCAGAAACAGAACCATGTGATATGAAGACACGAGAAAGGATCAGGGGCTGCCACTTTGGGTGGGGTCTGGCCACGGGATGTTTTGGGAGGGGGACACACTGAGGGGCAATGAGGATAGGAAAGGAAAACCATGTAAGCCCCGACATTCCCTGCCGCACACCCCATGATGAAGGAACGGTCCCCAGAATAAATAAATAATACAAAATGAGTGAGTAAAACTATATAACTTAAAAATAAATGGTGGTCAATAATGTTACATTTCTAGTTTGCCACTGCTGGAATTCGTTGGTGGCTCTTTTAACTGGACAACCGACCTTAACACCTAAGTGGTTACTGCTCTGACTAGCTGGATAGCTAAACCGTTTGTAATCATCTCCAAGGCCCAGTCTCCTCGCTGGCTCGGTTAGGATCCCGGCCCGCATTCGAACGGCGGCTTTTCTCATCGCGAACCAAACACAGACACTCCGTCTTTCCTGACTCTCCGAGGGGCACCGAATGACTTCGCATCAGTTGCTATGCGACTGACGCAACAGCGGGACGCCGCTCATGAATAATTAATAAGCAGCATGCTGCCGTATTACAGGAACGAGCAGCAATCGCGTGTCTGATGCTGGTCCGGGGAACGTTTACAAAACTTTGCGGCATTTTTAAGTAAAAATTATTGGCTTTTATTTCCGATTCGCATTACAAGGGCTCGGGTTACAGACAGAATTACCGCAGTCGCTATCTGAGGTCGGGATTTCAAGTTTTAAGTGTAGTAAAGTGAATGGAGAATGAAATATGTTGAGCAAGGATGGCACGATGGTTCGTGGTTCGCTAGAACTCCCCCGGGAAAGATAATCGGGGGGAGGAGACGCTGTCCCGGTGGTGGGACGGGGGTGGGGTTGATTATTCCCAAGCGTGTGGACTGAACGCTGTGTGATCCCTGGCTACTTACTCAGTCAGTCTGGTGTGTGTGTGTGTGTGCGCGTGTGCGCGCGCGCGCCTGTTTGTTAATGTGTGGCTCTGTCTGTGCGAATGTGTGCAGGCGCGGGCGGATCTTAGTGCGCCGGTGTGGGTGTGTGTGTGTGTTTACCCGGTATAGCCTGACGGGCCGTATTAAGATGAGGGAGAATGACGACGATCGGTGTGCACTTCAATAAAGCCCGCAATCTGTGTCAGCTGCTCCCCTTGACACGGGTATCTGCGGAAACGGGAAGCCAGTCACTGAGAAAGTTCTACCGTGTGACGGATCCCCTTCTGTGTCTCGCTACAAATTTCCATATTGTTGGGGTTTCCAGTCGACTTCCGTCCTATTCCCAGTCATGTAGCTGCTCATGAAACTCCAAATGACGCTCGTCTGCAGATCTCGCGCCGGCCCAGCCCATTCTTGGATGAGGATGAGGATGCTTTTGGTCTGTAGAATGTTAAGTAGCTCATCCTCGAAGGACTTCTGGATAAACTGCCGATGAGCAGGACTGAGATCAGGTGCTGCTCTCTGTACATGTCACGTGACGAGTCCTGCTGCTGACGTCCCGCTGAAAGACCGAGCATCGATGTTAGAGCAGGAGAGTGTAAGGGGATTTGATTCAATGCGTCGGAAATCTTTCATTTTTATCATGTTTTGATTAAATTAATTTATTCGATTACTCTGATAACGTAAATTCATTTAAAAAAAAAAAAAAACTTTATTTATGCTGCTGGTTGGTACTTTGTGACCTCTTCTAAGTGGTGAATGAGCCTTCCTTGTCCTCGACCACAGAAACAAGCTGATTGTCCAATCATATCCATTATTTTAGTATTTATGTCTTTAGCTCTGGTGCTACTTTGAATATTAATAAAGTTTATATATTGGTGGACAATATCAGCTTGACACATCGGACTGCTACCGACATATTGACCAATATCTCATGCATCTCTAAAGGCCAGCATTATTTTTTACTTCACTAGCTAGTTAGCTACCTCGAGGTTTCGATCACTTTTTGCTGCTAAGGAGGACGTCTCTCAAAAGCATCATAGTGCTAAGATTATGTGCACATTATAGTGAGTATTCTGCACCACAAAACGGACAGCTTCCCAAAAGCATCGTAGCGCAATGATCATCCCTGTAGCACAAAGATCATCACCGTAGCGCTAAGATCATCCCTGTAGCACAAAGATCATCACCGTAGCGCTAAGATCATCCCTGTAGCACAAAGATCATCACCGTAGCGCTAAGATCATCCCTGTAGCACAAAGATCATCAGGTAGCACTTGCATTATGTATGTTGATAAGGCTTCCCCTACTATCCTGCGCTTTGTAAATCTGCATGCTGCCACTGCTACTTTGTCCATCCACCTCCAGCATGCGAAATATGAGCTCACAATGACTGATGGTTATTAAAATGTCTCACAGGAGCGCCACCCTGTGAAAAAACAGAAAGGGATTGGATGCACCCCACAGCGACCCTGTGAAAAACAGAAAGGGGTTGTATCGCGCCCCTACAGCGACCTTGTGAAAAAACAGAAAAGGGTTGGATCGCGCTCCACAGCGACCTTATGAAAAAACAGAAAGGGGTTGGATCGCGCCCCATTGTGACCCTGTGAAAAAACAAAGGGGTTGGATCGCGCCCCACAGCGACCTGGTGAAAAACAGAAAGGGGTTGGATCGCGCTCCACAGCGACCTTATGAAAAAACAGAAAGGGGCTGGATCGCGCCCCACAGCGACCCTGTGAAAAACAGAAAGGGGTTGGATTGCGCCCCACAGCGACCTTGTGTAAAAGCAGAAAGGGGTTGGATCGCGCCCACAGCGACCCTGTGAAAAAACAGAAAGGGGTCAGATCAATCGGGGTCGGTGACCGCCGGAAAAACGACGGCACAGGTTGTAAGAGCATTTAGGGACGTCCGTTTTCATATTCGGTAAACACTGGGACAGCGTGTTAACGCACTTGTCTGCAAACATGCCACGGTGGAGGAAAGCCAGACATCAGTCTACAGGCGGGGGGGGGGGGTCTTTTCATAAAGATTTATTTCATTAGAAGTGGCCTAATTATCATGAAGACTGGACTTACCCACTCAGGCAGAGAATTAAAAACCTTAATTATATTGTCACCTTTTCTCCCTGTGATCTCCGAGGCCCTCTGACTGATCCATATGGTCTAATTGTCAGTGATGAGAGGGAGGGAAGAAAAACGGATGGGACCTCTGTGGAATGGAGGGGGGGGGATAAAGTGA